GATCCACAGCTGTTTCAGTACAATGCAATGTTTTGGTGCTAAATTCGTAAATACAGTCATTACTACATAACCTTACCATGTATTGAACTGCTTTTTCTTTAGATTTGTTGTAAAGCATGATGTTTTTGTGCTTACTTTGTAAAATCATAATGTAATTTGATGTTCAATAGGCTTTTCCTTAATCCCTCCTTATTATCCAACATTTTTGCTTATCCAACGTTTTGCTGGCTCGTTTATGTAGGATAAGCGAGACTCTACTGTAATTTAAATTTATATTTTATTGCTATGAATGATTTTAATGGGATTTAGTCTTACGTCTTTATCTTTTCATATATGTGTGTTAATGATCAAAATGTGTGTTAATGATCAAAATACAAAAGTATTGACAGACCTCCAAGTACTACTATCACAGTGGGTCCCTAGATGACTTGGCTTTGGTGGTCCATGTCTTAGTTACCTCAAGATTGGACTACCGTAATGCATTCTACGTGGGGCTACCCCTGAAGACGGCCCGGAAGCAAAGATCGATGGCCAGGTTACTAACTGGAGCAAGTTACAGGGAGCAGCCAACCCTCTTGTTCAAACAGCTCTACTGGCTGTGTTGTACCTACTTCGAGCTTTGAAACGAGTCTGGTAGCAAGTCATCAACATCATTGTCTACCTTTTCTTCTTCTTTATTATTATTTATTATTTACAGTATTTATATACCACCTTTCTCACCCCTGGGGGCAGGGCCGTAGCCAGAAAAAAATTTCGGGAGGGGTTGAAATTTTCGGGGGGGGGGGGTTGAAAATTTCAGGGGGGGGTTGAAACCTGCCTCCTAGCTCACACTGAAGCAAAGAGCACAGCAGGGGGCAGAGCAGCCTTCAATAGCCTGCAGCTCCGCCCCTGTCAACCACCTCCACCAAGTCTGGCCTCCTTAATGAGAGCATTCAACACACACACCAACTTGGTTGCTTCGCTACATCGGCTATTGCTGCAAGTAATGACAGTGTGAATAAATTGTCAATATTTGCTTGAGATAGTGCTTGCAGTTCTGGAGGGACTCTTAATTTTTTGCATCTCATAGACTTAGCATGGGGATTTGGTTAACCAGTTAAAATTCATGAGTAAACCAGGTTTTTTTAAAAAATCTGAAACATTTCGGGGGGGGGGGGTTGAACCCCTAAACCACCCCCTCACTACAGGCCTGCCTGGGGGAACTCAAAGCAGTTTCTGACCTCTATTTCTTTCTGACTTCTATTTCTTTGTGATTATATTCTTCCCCATTTCCTTGTGATTGTATATATATTTTTAAAGGAAATAGAAAAATTCATTACATTTTATTATTCATTGATTTAAAAACAACTTCACATTTGTTGTATTTTTTCAGGACTAAGATGCACATTTCCTCCCATATAAACATCTCTAAAATGGGGTGCACCTTAGACTTGTGGGTGCATCTTATTAGTGCACAACTTGATATTTTGATTTTGTTTGTTTTTTTGTTTTTGTTTTTACTTTTTCCACTGTGATTTAATTCTGGGTTTTTTCGGGCTTGGCCACAGCAAACAGGATACTTTGCTGGGTGTTGTATTAGATCACACATCAGACATTTCTCAAGTGTCTAGGACTGTGATGTATCAGTGAATAATGCGTGCAGATCCCAGTAAGGTGGCCTTCTGCAGCTGGCAGATTATTATTATTATTATTATTATTATTATTATTATTATTATTATTATTCAGAGCAGATAATGTGGGATTTTATTCAGTTGTGTGGAAGGGCCCTTAGACTCAAAGAAAAACTTTAATAATATTCTTGTAGAACTCGGAAACAGGTTCCTAATTGCTTTTTTCAAATATATCCAGAAGGAGAATAGTGTGCCAGGCATCCTTTGTTTAGAATAAAAATATGGAGCAGTCTTCATCTGTCCAGATGCTCCACGTTTATAAGCAGATCCACCCTCCAGCAATATGCTAAAAGCCGTAGCGAAATGCAGAGTAAGTGCAGCTGGTCCAGAGCAGTTTTGGGACAAAAGGAAATTAAGCAGATCAAGAGAAACAAGGCCTGAAAGAAATGAAAGAATGAAAAAGGGAGGGGGAGCAGGACCAGTGAGCAAGCTGAGTGAGCCAAAGAAAAGGCAGAGGTTAGGGATACGTACCAGTTACTTAAGGATGCCATGCATAGCCATTTTCTCATTGATTTGTGCTGAGGAGCCCCTGGTGTTGCAGTGGGTTAAACCCCTGTGCCGGCAGGACTGAAGACCAGCAGGTCGCAGGTTCCAATCCGGGGAGACGCAGGTGAGCTCCCACTAACAGCTCCAGCTCCTCATACGGGGACATGAGAGAAGCCTCCCACAAGGATGATAAAAACATCAAATCATCCAGGTGTCTCCTTGCAGACGGCCAATTCTCTCACACCAGAAGCGACTTGCAGTTTCTCAAGTCACTCCTGACATGACAAAAAAAATGGTTTGTGCTCATTTCAAAGTGCTCCAGTTATTATTTTGGATATAATTTCAAAGAGGGAGTTGGAGCAAGGGGAAAATGTGGTGGCATGTAAACTTTGCACACACTAGGACATTCTGTTTCTTTATCATTGAGCCATGAATAATAATATTATGATGATTATAATTACTGCTATTTCATTGGCAACACACATTTTGGTACCACAAATATTTCTGGGTATATATTTGACCTCATGATTTCAATAATACCACCTGTTTTCCCCTATCAGCTCTAGATTTTAAGATACAGACAATATGCCTTATACCTGTCATCCTTTGCTCTCCCATAGAAAAACCAAGATAACTATATCTAAGGCTCCTTCTACACTGCCCTATAATCCAGATTATCAAAGCAGATAATTCACACTATGTGCTTTCAGCTGGATTATATGAGTCTACACTGCCGTAGGGCCCCCGGTGGTGCAGTGGGTTAAACCATTGAGCTGCTGAAATTGCTGGTCGAAAGGCTGGCGGTTCAAATTAGGGTGAGCTCCCACTGTTAGCCCCAGCTTCTGCCACCCTAGCAGTATGAAAAAATGCAAATGTCAACAGATCAATAGGTACCGCTCCGGTGGAAAGGTAACGGCCTTCCATGCAGTCATGCTGGCCACATGACCTTGGAGGTGTCTATGGACAACGCTGGCTCTTTGGCTTAGAAATGGAGATGAGCACCAACATCCAGAGTCAGAAACGATTAAACTTAATGTCAGGGGAAAACCTTTACCTTTACTTTACACTGACATATAATCCAGTTCAAAGCAGATAATCTGGATTTTATTTGGCAGTGTAGAAGAGGCCGCATATAATCCAGTTCAAATTAGATAGTCTTGATTGTCTGCTTTGATAATCTGGATTTTATGACAGTGTAGATCCAGCGCCTGGTATTTCAATGTGTGTGGGTATTAATGTATGCTGTTATGGTTGCATTTTAACTATATTTAACTATGTTATATCCCACTTTCAGTGGAAAGGTGGTGCTTTATACATTATATACATTAAATTATTTTACAGACACAAAAACACAGTATGTCACAGCAAACGAGATATATATGTTGGATATCACAAAATCACAAGTTGAATCTTAGTGTTTAGGATTGTGTGATGATATACATTAAATGATGATGATGATGATGTACATTAAATTATTATTATTATTATTATTATTATTATTATTATTATTATTATTATCATAATTACTATCATGACTAGCATCATCATCATCCTGCTTTTCCTTCCAACAATTGGACTCCAGGCAACTAACAATATTTTCAAACAATATAAATTAAAAACAATGCAAAATCCAGAAAAGTATAAATGTAATATTTTTAAAATATAAATCCAAACTATAAACATTAATATGCATCAAACTGAGTACTAAACAAACCTTTAACTCTTCAGAGCTCATATAGGGAGAAACAGGGTACATCTACACTGTAGACTTAATCCACTTTAATACCACTTTAGCTGCCAAGGCTCTGTGCTATGGAATGATAGGATTTGCAGTTTGGTGAAGCAGGAGCTTTATTTGGAAAGCTAAAGAACTTGCAAAACTACAACTCCCATGCTTCCATCTCATTGAGCCAGGGCAATTAAAGCGATGTCAAACTGCATTAAATCTACACTGCAAGTGTGAACTATTCTCATTCTCTGCAGTACTAGAAATTTGGGGAAGTGGGGGAAAGTTTCATAGTGGAAGAGAGAGATTCCATCTCAACATTAGGAAGAACTTCCTGACTGTGAGAGCTGTTCAGCAGTGGAACTCTCTGCCTTGGAGTGTGGTGGAGGCTCCTTCTTTGGAAGCTTTTCAACAGAGGCTGGGTGGCCATCTGTCAGGGGTGCTTTGAATGCAATCTTCCTGCTGGGTTGTTGTAGGTTTTTCCGGGCTATATGGCCATGTTCTAGAGGCATTTTCTCCTGACGTTTCGCCTGCATCTATGGCAAGCATCCTCAGAGGTAGTGAGGTCTGTTGGAAGTAGGAAAAGTGAGTTTATATATCTGTGGAATGACCAGGGTGGGACAAAGGACTTTTGTCTGCTGGAGCTAGGTGTGAATGTTTCAACTGACCACCTTGATTAGCATTTAATGGCTTGGAAGTGCCTGGGGGGAATCTTCCTGCTTCATGGCAGAATGGGGTTGGACTGGATGGCCCAAGAGGTCTCTTCCAACTCTTATTATTCTATGATTCTATATGAGGCGGAACTCATCTCTGGCCAATTTATTTGGCCCTTTCTGCCTCCCAAAGCTACACAACTCCCTCCAGGTGTTGTTCGACTACAACTCCCAGCATTCCCTCCGCTGGCGTTCTAAGCGAGGGAAGCTTGGGAAGTGAAGTTCTGTCACACTGAAAGACACTGATCTATTCAGTGCGCATGCGTAGTTGAAATGGAAACCCGGCTTTGGCGCAAGGACGGGGGGAGGGAGAGGGAGGGCGGAGGAGGAAGCTCCGCCCCTTCTCCTTTGGCCAATGGGGAAAGAGGAGAGGAAACTTTTTCAGTTGCGCGGGCTCCCGGCATGCTTTGCGTGAAGGAAAAAAGCTACAGCAAGTCGCGGGCGTTCCGCATTTCGGTCGGCGCGGGACGAAGTAAAATCCGTCTCCATCGGACAAGCGAAATGGCAGCGGATGGAAGGTGGTTCGGAAATGCTTCAAACTTTAGACTAATTACCTGGTAAGTAGGTTATCTGGAGTTGGAATCATCTAGTAACCCAAGTTTCCCAACCTCTAGTCTTCTAGGTGTTTTGGACTTCATCTCCCAGAATCCCTGATCCTTGACCAAGGCAGCTGAGGCTTCTGGGAGTTGGAGTCCAAAGTAGGAAAACACTGATATAGTGTTTATGTATTTATTTATTTATTTGCTCAGGTGACTCATAGCGGTTTACAGAGGCAACGATTTGATGCCCAATACACCATAAAACATTTAAAAACATAAACACACAATATATAACCATAACAATAGTATTAAAAACATACATCAATTATGTCTCCTAATAAAAACATTGTCCAATCTCGTCCATTTACTTTGCCTTTTCAAATGCTTGCTCAAACAACCAAGTCTTGACTCCTTTCCGAAATGTTAAGAGGGGGAGGGCCGATCTAATGTCCCCAGGAAGGGCGTTCCATAGCAGAGGGACCACCACTGAGAAGGCCCTGTCTCTCATCCCCTGCTCACCTACAAAGCCCTGAACGGTTTGGGACCAGCCTACCTGCGTGATCGCATCTCCGTCTACGAACCCACACGCTCTCTTCGGTCATCTGGAGAGGCCCTGCTCGTGATCCCACCTGTGTCGCAAGTGTGCTTGGTGGGGACACGAAACAGGGCCTTTTCCGTGGTGGCCCCCCGACTCTGGAACACCCTCCCCAAAGATCTTAGACAGGCCCCTACATTGGCAGTCTTCAGAAAGAACTTGAAGACCTGGCTGTTCCGATGTGCCTTTCCCGATTAGGAAACTTTCCATTACCAAGTCCCACAAGCACTTTATTAAAGCCAAGATTGCCGCACACTGCACTTGTCCATAAGCCTCATTTCCACCTGTCACATCAGCACTTTTAACCCTTGTACCCTTACTCTTGTACCCTTGTTGGAGGAAAGTGCTGAGAGTGCCTTGGACTGCGAGAAGATCCAACCAGTCCATCCTCCAGGAAATAAAGCCCGACTGCTCACTGGAGGGAAAGATACTAGAGACAAAGTTGAAGTACTTTGGCCACATCATGAGGAGACAGGAAAGCCTAGAGAAGACAATTATGCTGGGGAAAGTGGAAGGCAAAAGGAAGAGGGGCCGACCAAGGGCAAGATGGATGGATGGCATCCTTGAAGTGACTGGACTGACCTTGAGGGAGCTGGGGGTGGTAACGGCCGACAGGGAGCTCTGGCGTGGGCTGGTCCATGAGGTCACGAAGAGTCGGAGACGACTGAACGAATGAACAACAACAACCCTTACTCTGGCCCGGCCCAGTTTTATTGTGTCTTAATGGATTGTTTATTGCTTGTTGTTTTAGATTGCTTTAATTATTTTAATTTGCTTAGGTTTGTATTGTTGTTGAGGCCTTGGCCTTTGTAAGCCGCATCGAGTCCTGCGGGAGATGCTAGCGGGGTAAAAATAAAGTTTAATAATAATAATCCCCTCCAAACGTATTTGTGATGCCGGCGGGATCGAGAGCAGGGCCTCCCCAGACGATCTTAAAGTCCGAGCAGGTTCATAAGGGATGATGCGTTCAGACAGGTAAGTTGGGCCAGAATCGTTTAGGGCAGTAGTTCTCAACCTGTGGGTCCCCAGTTGTTTTGGCCTACAACTCCCAGAAATCCCAGCCAGTTTACCAACTCTTAGGATTTCTGGGAGTTGACGGCCAAAACATCTGGGGACCCCAGATTGAGAACCACTGGTTTAGGGCTTTATAGGCTAAAACCAGCAATTTGAATTGTGCCTGGTAGCAGACTGGCAAAGTGGAGCTGGAGCAACAAAGGAGTTGTATGCTCCCTGAGCTCCACTCCTGTTAATAATCTGGCTGCCGTCAGTTGGACCATTTGAAGCTTCCGGACAGTCTTCAAAGGCAACCCCACGTAGACCTCGTTGCAGTAGTCTATATAGGAGCATGGACTATCGTGGCCAAGTCAACACTTCCCAAGGTAGAAGCACAGCTGGCGCACAAGTTTTAACTGTGCAAAACGTTCTGTATTACCCAATACAGTTTGCCCTCCGCCCGGAATAATGTTCAGGGTGGGAGAAAGAAAGAACCCTTGTCTGTTTTGGTGCTAAATTCTCAAATACACTAATTACTACATAACGTTACAGTGTACTGAACTGCTTTTTCCATCAGTTTGTTGTTAAACGTGATGTTTTGATGCTTAATTTGTAAAATCATAACGTAATTTGATGTTCCATAGGCTTTTCCTTAATCCCTCCTTATTATCTAACATATTCGCTTATCCAACATTCTGCCAGCCTATTTATGTTGGATAAGCAAGACTCTACTGTAGTTGTTATATTCCAGGAACTCCTGCCACAAAATATGTTGGATTAGTTGAGACTCTATGAGATATTCATTGAAAATCTAGCAAAATGTGCTGCAGGATGTCCCGCAAAAACAAAAGTTTTTACAGTTTAATAAATTTTTTCCATGTTTTTATAATAGAACCAATTAGGACAGTGTTTCTCAACCTGGGGGTCGGGACCCCTGGGGGGGTCGCGGGGGGGAACAGAGGGGTCGCCAAAGACCATCAGAAGACACAGTATTTTCTATTGGTCATGAGGGTTCTGTGTATGAAGTTTGGCCTAATTCTCTCATTGTTGGAGTTCAGAATGCTCTTTGATTGTAGCTGAACTATTAAATCCCAGCAATTACAACTCCCAAATGTTAAGGTCTATTATCTCTAACCTCCTCCAGTATTCACAGTTGGGCATGTTGAGTATCCGTGCCAAGTTTGGTCCAGATCCATCATTGTTTAAGTCCACAGTGCTCTCTGGATGTAGGTGAACTACAACTCCAAAACTCAAGGTCAATACCTATCAAACCCTTCCAGTATTTATTGTTGGTCATGGGAGTTCTGTGTGCCAAGACTGGTTCAATTCAGTCATTGGTGGAGTTCAGAATGCTCGTTGATTGTATGTGAATTATAAATCTTAGCAACTACAACTCCCAAATGACAGCATCAATCTCCCCTTCAACCCCACCAGTATTCAAATTTGGGTGTATCGGGTATTTGTGCTGAATTTGGTCCAGTGAATGAAAATACATCCTGCATATCAGATACTTACATGACAATTCATAACAGCAGCAAAATTACAGTTGTGAAGTAGCAACAAAAATAATGTTATGGTTGGGGGTCACCACAACATGAGGACCTGTACTAAGGGGTCGCGGCATTAGGGAGGTTGAGAACCACAGAATTAGGAGATGACGTCCATAACTCAGGAACAAGAAGCATGTTATATAGTGTTATCTACTTTAAAATGGATTGTATTCTACTGTATAATCCAGTTCAAAGCAGATGATCTGGGTTCAGAAACTAGATTATACGGCAGTGTAGAAGGACCTGGGTTTTCTGTCTAAAAGATTACAACAAGGTGAAAGATGTTAGTATCCTTATTCTTGGGAGGTGATTTTCTGCTTCCAACAGTTGCAGAATGTGCCTTTCCTCAGCACTGTGTGGTAGAAAGAGGTAAGGGTTTCTTTCATCCATATTCTTCTCTTCTTACTCCTTTATAATAACAATAGTCATAGAGTTGGAAAAGATCACAAGGTCCACTCAGTCAATCGCATTCTGCCATGCAGGAACCCAATCAAAGCACTTCTGATAGATGACCATCCATCCTCTGCTTGAAAACATCAATTGAAGGAGACCCCAGCACACTCCCAAGTGGCATATTCTACTGTTACCGTCAGGAAGTTCTTCCTAATGTTTAGGTGGAATATTTTTTTCAGCATTTTGAATTCACTGCTCTATTGTGTCCTGGTCTCCAGAGCAGCAGAAAGCAAGCCCGCCTCTTCCTCAACATGACATTCTTTCAAATATTTTAAACATGATCATGTTCCCTCTCAGCTTTCTCTTCTCCAAGCTAAACACACCTAGCTCCCTCATCCACTCCTCATAGGACTTGTTGGGACTTTGGGTGCATCTAGGCCAGTGGTTCTCAACCTGGGGTCCCCAGATGTTTTTGGCCTTCAACTCCCAGAAATCCTAACAACTGGTAAACTGGCTGGGATTTCTGGGAGTTGTAGGCCAAAAACGTCTGGGGACCCCAGGTTGAGAACCACTGATCTGGGCTGTTAGGAATTGTGGCATCCAAAACACTCAGAGGACTAAAGGTTTAGAAGCACTGCTATAGAATACTGGAAGTTGAGTTTTGGAAGGTCTTTAGTCTTCTCTGTAAAATTCATGCTGTTTGACACCACTTTAACTGCCGTGGTTCCATTCTGTGAGTTGTTATTTGGTGAGGAACCAGCACTATTTGTCAAGAGAACTCCCAGGATTACATAGCCTTGAGCCACGACAATTAAAGTGGTGTCAAATTGCATTAATCCTGCAGTGTATATATACTCCCTCTCTAACAGCAGCCTGGTGCATATAAATTTAGCAAGCGATTAGCACCTTTTCTCAACAGGGAGAAGTAGGAAATGCTTACTTAATACATTTCCAATTACTTAATACATTTCCAATTAATAGGCAAGTTTCTATTTACAATTGCAGGGTGCAGACGGGACAGGATTAGCACCCTCTTCTTTAAGAAATCTATTCAGAGAATTTGATCTTCCCTGTCTGCAATTTAATCTTACCAATGTTTGGTGGGAGCTCGTTTCAGGTTTGCAACCCTGGCTAGACATGACATTTTCCATGGGTGTCAGCAATTTTTATTTGTGTGTTTTATTTTGATCCTGCCTTTCTTCTAATACAGGGGCTCTGAAAGTTTTTAAGAAGAAACTGGATGGCTTTGATTGTATTTTCCTGCATGGCAGATGGGGGTTGTACTGAATGGCCCACGGGTGGGTGGCCTCTTCCAAGTCTGTGATTGATTCTTGAGGAGCATTAACCAGAATCCTCTTGTGACTTTACATTGGTGTAAACACTGAAATAAATGTTGAAAGAGTGAGTCAAATGAACTTCACTTCTTCCATATCTCGGTTGATCAACGCAACACAAATCTCTCCCGGTTTTGATCTGGCAATACCATACAAAAAGTTTATAGAGAAGAGAGCCTCAAGGTGTTGAAAAATATGATTTTATTTCTCCAAGTAGCCCAGCCTGTTTTAGTCTTGTTATATTTAATATCCTTTTACAGGAGAAATATGGAACTTGACGTCATTTTCTTGAAAACGATTTGTGTCACTTTTTGTTCGTTTGTGAAGTGAGCATAAATACCGGACACTGAATCTTTGCATCGAAAACAGTACTATCTTCTGGAAAAGGTAATTATGTGTTTGCTGATTATAGAGTGTGGACTGGTGGGTCATAATATTAGCAGGCGAATCCTCTACCACTACTGATATTTCGGGGAAGAACAAGGACTCTTGGAGAGGTTGTAAATAGGGAGAGCAGCATGGTGAACTCAGAGGCTTGTATTTCTACAAGAGTTATATAAGAGTAAGGTTGCAAGTTTTTTTAAAAAAAATACACAGAATGAATATACTTTAATAAAACCTACATGGATTGTAGCATAGGAATTACATTATTTTTCCACATAATCACCATTCAATTCAATATATGTTGTTATCCGTGGGACAGGTTTTTTATGCCTGTGTCATAGAAGTTTTCCTCTTGTCTTTTTCAGCCAGTTCATCACTTTGATTTTCACATTGTCAGAAAAGTGTTTTCCACCAAGGTGTGCCTTCAATTTAGTGAACAGATGATAGTCATTGGGTGCAGATCGGAGCTGTGAAAGGGGTGACTTAAAACATTGCAACCAAATGAAGTCAACAACTCTTGTGTTGCATGAGTGGTGTGCAGATATGCATTGTCATGGGGAGACTCCCACCATGAGCATCCCATGACATTTGTTTTGGATGGTTCTGCGAAGTTTCATCATGGTCTCTCACTATATTCAGTACCCATTTTGCCACATGCTGTCTTGACGTTATGTCCTATCCACAAACTGAATGCAGCGGTGTTCGTGGCCTTAGCATTTAGGTAGCATATTACAGCGCGAACTTCGCACTTGGAGGGGAACAGAATGAGGATGCTCGTCTCTAACTTTCACCACAATGCCAGTCAATGAGCTACTAATGAGTGGCACTGCTCATTCACTTCCTCTGGTTTCCTGCTACATGGCAGTGATATCAACTTCCCCCAAGAAAATTTTCCACGAGAGCTACATGCCTTGTAATCTTACTTTCCAGATAGCCCTTGCACTTGTTATTCCATTTTAGCAAGTGGTTTCATTACTTCTTTGTGTGACATCTTCAGCTTTGCTGTGCTGGCAGGGGAATTCTGTGAGTTGTAATCCACAAAAGAACATTTTCCTGAATGCTTTGGATTTACTGTATAGTCTTAAAAGATCCATTCTAGCCATTGCCCAATATTTTTTTGCCCAGGGAGAAAATTATTGTACAGTTCCATTGATAAATATTTCCTACTTCTGCTGGTTGCAAATTTGGCTTCTTTTGAGCTAGCTTATATGAAAACCCTTTGAGTGGGAAAGAACAGGGGTGAGGTTAATTCTGGGGGTCCCTCCTTCGAAGGCGTGTCTTCGCTTCCCATGTCTTGACACGTAAGAACTGGAGGTAGAGTACAAAGAATAAGGCCTAACCATGACATTACAGTGCTGCCTGAAAAGCTGTACCAAGGTCTTAAGTCTGACATGTCAGGTTACTTTTTTTAGTTTTGCCTTTTGCTTTTATTATTACTTCTATGGACTAGCAGCAAAATCCTAAACATGTTAACGCAGAAATAAGTCCCTTAGACACCATGTGACTTGCTCCCCCATGAGTATACTGAAGTTTGTCAGACTGGTGATAGCAGATTGTGGAAGCAAGCACATATCTTGTTGAAGATATTTCAGCCCCTTTTAATATAGTGTAACCCTGAACTCAAAAATACACATGAGTCAGTTGTGGCTTTAAGTAGAAAAGAAAATTGTTCATTCACTTTAGTTCAACAATGAAACAAAGCAAGTCAGAATAGTTGATCTCACCACAGTATAATAGCAAACACTTTCTTCAGTGAGTCTTCTTTCTTTGACGACAGAAAACAAAAGTAGTACACAGTTCATTTTCTGTCTTTTTTGTTGAAAATAAGATGCCCTTGATTGGTTGTTTAGATTTCCAGCTTCCAAACACCACATGTCAGCTCCCAGCAACAAAACAGTCACTTGCTGCTTCCAGCTCCGATGCACTACCAGCTCTAAATAGAGCCAAGCTAAGCAAATGCAAAGTTCAACAACTACAAACTCAGTGCTTTGTTTTATACAGTAAGTAGATCACACACTTAACTAAGCCATAACATCTGCTTTAGTGCTGTAATAGAATGGTTCAGATCCTTGCTATTACTTAGCTAGAAGCCTTTAGTAAACTGTTAGTTTGAGGTATGAACCTTATTGTCAAAGTCAGAATGCCTTGCTCTCTTCCCTGTTCAGATGAGACACCTGATTCCTCTGGCTGGCATCCTTTCCTGAAACTCATCAATGTCACTTTTTGTCTGTTTGAGAAGTGAGCTTAAATGCTGGGCGCCAAATCTCTGCTTTGAAAACATCCCTAAAGAGGTAATTATGATTTTGCTGATTATAGAATAGGGTCTGGAGGGTGTAATATTACTGGATAGGTCCTTTGCTGCCTGTATTTTTGGAAGAACAAGGAATCTCAGAGGTCCAAAATAAAAATGACATGGGGGATTCAGAGCCTTGTGTGTACCTGTTGAAGCAAGTGACTGTATTAATTTTTTGGATTACATCTCCCAGCATTGTCTGTGCTGATGTGGGATTCTGAGAATTGTAGTCCACAAAAGAGTATTTACCTGGACCCTACAAGTCAACTATATTGTGCCAAATGGTTCATTCTAGCCATTGCCCACTCTTGTTTCCAGAGAGAGAACCTTGATCTGTTGAAACTAATAAATAGTCTTGCTTTTGCAGAAAATATTTGCTTTGCTTCACTTTCAGGTAAAGCCCTTTGAGTGGGGAGGAACAGGTGTGACAGGTCTAGGGTCCCTCCTTCGAAGGCAAGTCTTTGCCTCCCATGTCTAGACACGTAAGAACAGGAGGTAGAGCACAAAGATTTGAGACGTAACTAATCATGAGAGCTCAGCTGCTGACTGAAAAGCTGTAGCAAGGTTTTGAGTCTGACATATCTTTTTAATTTTCATACTAGCTGACATCTGCTGTATTTAAATGGCAAAAAGGATTGGGTAGGACAGGAAGAATATGCTGTAGGATCATAACGTTCAAAACTTTGGGTCAACTCATAAAGCTCTCCATGAGGCAAACCTTCTAGAAGACAATTTTTAAAATAGCTTTGTTAGTCTGGAATGGCAGTATAGAAAGATATGTTGTCTCACCTTTGAGGTTTTTATAATATGCATTTATATCCTTTCTTCTTTCCCAAAAGATACTCAAAGCAGCTAAATTAAAAACCATACAATATACCATATATGATTGAGAGAATGAAGTTGGTAGCATTGGTTTTGGTAGACCAAGTCTAGTGTGCATCCAAGAAAGTAGACCCAGTTTATGAAAGCTTATGCTACCAAATGCATTCTCTTTTGCATACTTTCTAGAAGGAAGTTTGGATTCCTTGGCAATCTCCTATTCAAATGGTAACCAATTGTGACTCCACTTAGCTTCCAAGAACAGAGGGGATCGGGTGCCATTCCTATTGTTATTGTCATTTTTTTCTTTTTTCAATTATTGTTATTATTGACAAGCCACAAAATCCTAAATATGTGCACACAAAAATAAGTCTCTTGAACAAAATGTAACTTGCTCCCTTGTAAATGTGGTTAACTTAGCAGCCTGAACCTTCTTCTGAAAGTCAGAGTGCCTTGTTCCTTTCTTTGCTTTCTTCAGATGGGACACCTGATTCCTCAAGCTGACATAATTTTTCCCTTCCTGATACTCATCCACATAACTTTTTGTCTGTTGGAGGAGTGAGCTTCAAATGCTAGGTGCTGTGGGTCTTCCTTTTGGAAAAGGTAATTATGCTTTCACAGGTGACAGGATGGGGTTTGGTGTCCATGCTAGCTGGGGAATGCTGAGAGTAGTCATTCACAAAGAACACCTTCCTGAGCCTTATATATCGACTGTATGGTGTAAAATGGTTCATTCAAGCCATTGCATACTTTTTTCTTTTCAGGGAGAGAACTTTTTTGTGTTGACATTGATAACGTGTTTTTGCTTCTGCTGGTTGCACATTTAGTTTAGTTTGCTTCAGTTCCAGCTAAAACTCTTTGAGTGGGAAGGAACAAGGGTGAGATTAGGCCCAAGGTCCCTCCTTCGAAGGCGTGTCTTTGCCTACCATGTCTAGACACGTAAGAACTGGAGGTAGAGTATAAAGATTTGAGATCTAACTGTGAGAGCACAGCTCTTGACTTGGAAGCTGTACCAGGGTCTTAAGTCTGACATGCCCTTTTCCCATCAATAGTGAAGTATTTAAATGGCGAGTAAGATTGGGTAGAACAAAAGGAATATACACTGAAGTTATATCATTTAAAAGTGGAAGCAGGTCCATACCCCACATTTGTAGCATGACAGCCTTGCAGGGGTTTGCATATGTCTGCAACTGAGAGTAACCAGAGTAGCGACTGTTTTTGCCAGTTTTAAAAATATATATTTTAATATGAAATGGCTTATTCCAAAGGGAAATTGCTCCTCCTGAGTCCTTTCCCCACTACACAATTATAACATTCTGGGTTTACTTTTAAGTGCTTTGAATTAGGATTGGAAGATTTCATGTAGTCTCTGCATATGTCTGATGATCTTGAGCAGTGGTTCTCAACCTGTAGATGTTTTGGCCTTCAACTCCCAGAAATCCTAACAGCTGGTAAAATGTCTGGGATTCCTGGGAGTTCTAGGCTAAAATACCTTGAGACCCATTGGTTGAGTACCACTGATCTTGAGAATCAGATGGATAAACAAGATCAGGATTATAAATGCAGGTATGTGGGTAATACCCCCCAGGCTCTGTGATTTTGTTCTTTGTTTTGGCACCATAAGAGTTAAAGACATTGAGGCTATTATATACAAGGCAGGAACAGTTCTACGTTGTTTGATTTTGAGCATCAAGATTATAGGTCTCATTCTACTTAGAGCCTGAGTAAGCTGTTCCTATATACAGTGCAACCTCCTTCCACGTATCCATGGAACCAATATGCATGGTTTCACTTATCCACAATTTCAGTTATTCACTTAGGGGCCCCATTGAACAATTTATTTTTTAAAATATTTTAAAGAAATTGTTAGACAGGGCCTGAATAACCTGAAGGCACCAAATTTCATCTGATGTTTGAAGTTAAGCACACTTTTTTTAGTGTCAGGAGAGCCTTGAGAAACTGCAAGTCGCTTCTGGTGTGAGAGAATTGGCCATCTGCAAGGACATTGCCCAGAGGACACTGAGATTTTTTGATGTTTTACCATCCTTATGGGAGGCTTCTCTCATGTCCCCACATGGGGACCTGGAGCTGACAGAGGGAGCTCATCCGCGCTCTCCCCGGATTTGAACCTCTTGACTTGTCAGTCTTCATCCTGCTGGCACAAGGGTTTAACCCATTGTGCCACCGGGAGTTAAGCAGGTTCAGGCCTGGTTAATACTTGGATGTGGGCTACCAGGGAATACCATATGCTGTAGTCTGTATTCATAGAAAAGGAAAGTAATACTGATTTCCTGGTAGGCAATTTGAAGGACTCGCATAGCTCTGCTTGTATGGGTCTGAATACAAGGTCCAATGGGAACGGCTAACCAAAGAGTTTTAAGTAATGGAATAAAGGCCTTTCCTTGCAAAAGTTTGGGATGAATTTGCTCCTCTGTTTCTGATAAAACTAATCACTATTGTTCTCTGTTTATCCCAAGGTGCTGCTGGTTCAGGAGACGCATAAACTTACCATGTTGAGCTGTGAGAAAAGCAAAATGGGCAAAAAGTAAAATCCACAGGAAATACAATTTTAGAAATGTCCAACAGGAGAAAAGTCAATGAGATGGGACATTTGCCAATCCATCGTCAAGAAATTTTCCCTTACACCTCTCATAGATGTTGCTCTCTTGACAACCTCCAGCACACGACATCAGCTTAGCCCTTTCTCAATGTTTTCTCCTCTTGTATGATCTATTGTGAATTAGTTTATTTCCACTTATGACAAAACTCCCACTTTTGGACTTTTAAAAAACAGGATGTACATAAAATCAATCACAATTTTCCATAGTATAAAATGCTACAATAAATTGATGGTGTGCTATTTTAGTAGTCTAGGGATTCAGGGGAGGACTGGACCCTAATATGTGTTGCTCTATCTTTGGAAAACAGTCAACTCAACGAGTCATAGCCCATGATAGTGCTGATGGTGCAACAGAGGAAAGCATAGTCTCCAAATGGGTGTGTTGGTGGCTTTAAAAAAAACTGTTACCAGAGCTGTAAAAAAACTACATTTCCCAGAACCGTCATATTTCCCAGAAGTACATCTAGGAGTTTTTATATGCGGAAATACTACTACTATTCCTCAATATACAGGTTATTTAACAAAATAGTCTAAAGCAGTGGTTCTCAACCTGTGGTCCCCATATAGTTTTGGCCTACAACTCCCATAAATCCCAGCCAGTTTACCAGCTGTTAGGATTTCTGGGAGTTGAAGGCCAAAAACATCTGGGGACCCCAGGTTGAGAACCACTGGTCTAAAGGATTAATCATCAAAATATTTATATTCTGTCCCATCTCTCCTTATGGGACTCAAGGCAGCTTTAGCACAGCTGGTTAATCACCAAGCAGCAATACATCTTACCAATCAAAAGATTGGTAGTTCTAAGCCTGGGTTGGCGTGAGCACCCAACCTTCAGCCCAGATTACGGTCTATAACCAGTTTGAAAACAGCTGTAAGAAATTAGGCACCGCTTAAGTGGAGAGGTATTTAACAGCAACTTAAGTATCAGAAAAATGACAGCAACCAAAGGAAGGGGTAAGTCTGTGATCAAGGCTTTGTCATAGAGGATGGAGCAACAGCATCTCTGTGGCCAGAACTGATCACAATCTCCAGTATCTGTTGTCTGTCCTATCTGTTTTAATGGCATTGAATGTTTGCCATGTGTGTCCTCTGATCTGCCCTGAGTCCCCTTCTAGGTGAGAAGGGCAGAATATAAATGCTATAAATAAATACACATAGATGGCAGCCATTTGATGCAACACAAATACATAATAGAGAACTTGCTCATTTTTCCATGTTTTAAAAAATCCTTAGATTCCAATACTGAAGAGCACTTCAATGGACCTCATCAGACGGAGTGGGGGGAACGTGAGACAAAAGGAGCAAAACATGTTATGTTGTTTCCTATCTGGGGTGGCCAGCCACCCCATGTATTTCCCCCCTCTTCTGCCAGTCTTCCTGTTTTAAGCCATTTGGAGTCGGGTAACACCCAACTCCTGAAGATGGATTTTTGGTTCCATTTCCATGTGCTGCGGAAATGTAGCCCCACCCTAAGTGTCCTGATTTGATTAAGGAGGAAGTTCTTCAGAAGGGGAAATGGCATGACAGCACCCTCCGGTGGCCAGAACCAAGTACAAGCCTCCAAGATGCCGAAGATCGGGAAAAGCCTATGTTTACCTCTATGTACAATTGTCTGTCTTGTCAGTGTATAAACGACATGGAATGTTTGCCGTATATGTGTTCTGCGATCTGCCCTGTGTCCCCTTCAGGGTGAGAAGGGCGGAATATAAATATTGTAAATAAATAAAAATAACTGGATTTGTTACAAGCACCTAACAAATTCCTAAAGACGATTCCCCTCCCGCATATGAATAAGAAACAATGTGGATTCTGTGGTCTCATTGAAGTAATAGATGCAAGAAGTTTTTTTGGTATGCTTCTAAATGCTTTTGAGACTTTGGATGGCCTGTCTCTCGGGAGTACTTTACATATCCAGTTCTCTCTTTGGTACGTCGCTTAATTGTGGTTAAAAAGCAAGTACAGTTGATCCTTCTATACACAAAATCAATCATCCACAGCTTGAAAATATTATAAACATTCCAAAAAAGCAAACCTTGATTTTATTTAAGGTATACCAATTTGTTATGCCATTGCGTATAACACTATGTAACACCTGTTTTTGTTCCTGGGTTATAAATGCCATTTCCTAATTGGTTCTATCATAAAAGCATAGAAAAAATATTAAACTGTAAATATTTTGTTTTTGCAGGATATTGCGCAGCACATTTTGCTATAGTTTTCAATGAATATTTCATAGAGTCTCAACCAATTCAATATAGTTTTTTGCAGCCACAAAAATGAAATTTCTGGGGGATAACAACTACTTTCAAAGTAAGTTCCGCACAATTAAACAGGAAATAACACTTTCAAACCAGAAACAGAATATTTTTCAAATTTTGTTACTTTTTTTTTCTGTGTCAGGAGTGACTTGTGAAACTGCAAGTTGCTTCTGGTGTGAGAGAATTGGCTGTCTGCAAGGACAACAAAAGAACCAATGAACGAACCAATGAACAAAATCACACCAAATTTGGCAACAAAATGTCTCACAACACAAGGATGTGTTACCATCCTGTGGGAGGCTTCTCTCATGTCCACAAATGAGAGGCTGGAGCTGATGGACAGGAGCTCACTCCACTCCCCAGATTTGAACCAACTTTTCGATCAGCAGTTCTGCCAACTCAAGGGTTTAACCCACTGTTACATAGTGTTATGGGACTTGATTATCCACAGATTTTGATATCCACAGGAGGCCTTGGAACCAAACCCTAAAAGATACCAAGGGGCCACTTGTATATTGATGATGGCCTTTCAGTTTAGATTGGTACCACTTTATCAAATCATCATATATCTTAGAGAGGATCGACTGCTGCAAGTTTATAAACAAATAAAATTTGAATTTTAACCACTTAAGAAAAAGAACTTTTCATAATCCTTCATTTCACTAATTTGTTCTGGTAGTAAGACTTTGTTCTTTCCTGGCACTGCTTATTCCAATATCCTACTTCAAAAAAACAAGTCGGTTTTTAAATCCAGATTTATTGAGAATGACAGAGAAAGAAAAGTTATTTACAATTTGTAAGGCACCGTCTCCACGCTTGGTGGCCGGATCAGCGCCGTCTCTTTGCTCTACTGGGTGGGGCGGGGGCTGTTTTTGCCACAGCCCTCCTCTTGCTGGCCCTGGTGGCGGGAGCTGTGGAGGAAGACGCAGGGGAGGAAATGGCCACTGCATCCAACCGATGGGCATCCAGGTCGATCTTCTGCTGTAAGATCCCCGTCAGGATGAACTCTGAATTGGTGATCGGCACTTTGCCATTTTGTGCTAGCTTGCAGAGGGGCAGGTCATCCGGACAAGAAACGATGACACGCTTGTCCTTAAAAGGGTTAAAACACAAGGAAATTGCAATATATATATATAGATATAGATATATATATATATATATATATATATATATATATATATATAAGGTACTCATTATGCACAGAGCATTTATATATAAAATGCTCTGTGCATAATGAGTACCTTAAAAACAAAAGAACCAATGAACGAAATCACACCAAATTTGGCAACAAAATGTCTCACAACACAAAGAGTGACCATCACTCAAAAAATTTATGATTTTGTCATTTTGGAGTTGTAGTTGCTGGGATTTATAGTTCACCTATAATCAAAGAGCATTCTGAACTCCACCAATGATGGTATTGAACCAAACTTGCCACATAGGACTCCCATGACCAACAGAAAATACTAGAAGTGTTTGGTGGGCACTGACTTTGAGTTTTGGAGTTGTAGTTCACCTACATCCAGAGAGCAGTGTGGACTCAAACAATGATGGATCTGGACCAAACTTGGCACAAGCACTCAATACGCCCAAATATGAGCACAGATGAGGTTTGGGGAAAATAGACTTTGACATTTGCAAGTTCTAGTTACTGGGATGTATAGTTCACCTACTATCAGAGCATTCTGAACCCCTCCAATGACAGATTTGGGGCAAACTTCCCACACAGAATGAGACCACCTTGATTAGCATATAATGGCCTGACATTGCCTGGAGCAAACTTTTGTTGAGAGGTAATTAGATGTCCTTGTTTGTTTCCTCTCTGTTGTTGTGCTGTTGTAATTTTAGAGTTTTTAATACTGGTAGCCAGATTTTGTTCAAAAGTTTGCTCTAGGCAATGTCAGGCCATTATATGCTAATCAAGGTGGTCAGTTGAAACATTCCCACCTAGCTCCAGCAGACAAGAGTCCTTTGTCCCACCCTGGTCATTCCACAGATATATAAATCCATTTTCCTAGTTCCAACAGACCTCACGACCTCTGAGGATGCTTGCCATAGATGCAGGTGAAACGTCAGGAGAAAATGCCTCTAGACCATGGCCATATAGCCCAAAAAAACCTACAACAACCCAGTGATTCCGGCCATGAAAGCCTTCGACAATACATCACCATCATCATCATCATTATTTCTTATCTATCTATCATGTATCCTCTCTCTACTCCGAGCTAAACAACCCCCAATACACTCCTCACAGGGCTTGGCTTCCAGACCTTTGATCATTTTGATCAGACTTTTCTGCCAGTACACATTTCCCCTTCTATATATGTATACCATCACTTGCTTACCTTGTAGGTTCGAGGCATTCTGGGTAAAAATGTCCCGCCGCTGCATTTAATGATATCTCTCATATGCTCGGGCTCTGGCTTAACGTTAGGGGTGACATGTATCTCGTAGCCCTGGAAAAGAGGGAGACAGATCTATGGCATGTTTGTGTTTGCACAAAATCTTAGCAAGAAAGGATAGAGCAGTGGTTCTCAACCTGTGGGTCTCCAGGTGTTTTGGCCTACAATTCCCAGACATCCCAGCCAGTTTACCAGCTGATTTCTGGGAATTGAAGGCCAAAACATCTGGGAACTCACAGGTTGAAAACCACTGGGATAAAGGAAAGGATGGGAAGCTGACAGACCCAAGTCCCTGTCTTATGGGCTGCAATTCATCCACACTACGGCAAGTGGATCTGCATTGCATGCAACATCCAGTCAAGTTGTTCCCCATGACACCATCACAGGATTTCTTAACTTCCCTGAACAATAGGTTTTTAACAAAAATGGAAAAAATACAAAGAAAAACATCCCATATTTTTTAAAAACTTGTGAGAACAACTTTCCCAGAGATTCTTTGAGATACCAGATTGATCAAATCCACAAAAATTAAACCTTGCAAACATGGAGCGTCAGCTAGAGGATGAAGGTTCCCTGATTTTCGGAGCAACTTATTCCTGTCTTCCCTAATAAATTGAAATATAAAGGCTAAAAAGCAAACTTAAAGTAAAATCAAGTGTTCGTCAATACAACCCGGAAAATTATAATCCTCATCTCTTCAGGCTAGAGTTACCCATTTGTATTCTTTAATATGTGCCGCTGGTGTTGCTATAAGAAGATCCTCCATTGTGCATGTGGCAGGGCTCAGGTTGCATTGCAACAGGTGGTCAGTGGTTTGCTCTTCTCCACATTCACATGTCGTGGACTCCACTTTGTAGCCCCATTTCTCAAAGTTGGCTCTGCATCTGGTGGTGCCAGAGCACAGTCTGTTCAGCACCTTCCAAATCGCCCAGTTTTCTGTGTGCCCAGGAGGGAGTCTCTCATTTGGTATCAGCCATGGATTGAGGTGCTGGGTTTTAGTCTGCCACTTTTGGACTCTCACTTACTGTCATTCATAGAAAACTATTTCTTGAATTAAGCCATAGGCGTGCTAGCTGATATCCGAACAGGGGATGATCCGGAGATGTCACTGCCTTGGTCTTTTCACTATTGGTTGCTACTTCCTGGAAGGTGTCAGGTGGTGTAATTCCTCCAGTGGTATAGGGCACAGACACCCCATGATAATGTGTCATGTCTCATTAAGAGCCACATCCACTGTTTTAGAGTGTTGAAATGTTCCACACTGGACATGCATACTCAGCAGCAGAATAGCAAAGCGAAAGGGCAGATGTCTTCACTGTATCCGGTTGTGACCCCCAGGTTGTGCCAGTCAGCTTTCGTATATCATACGAAAGCCTTAATCATAACCTTACCTGAAACAGTCCCCCATTTCGCTGTGCGGTCTGTAGTGATGTGGGGAGGCTGAACTGGAATTTCTTCTCCTGCTCAGGGTCACGAACAAGGAAGCTCTTTGGTGCCAGGAAGAAGGAGTTCTGCCTACTCTGTTAAAGAAAAGGAAAGGATGGGATATAAGTAAGTAAGACAAGAAATGGATGAAATATCATCCTATTCACATGAAGACAACATCTCATGACCGGATATGAGTGCAGGAAAATGAAGTCTAAGAATATTTGGAAATCCATGTTTCCCACACTGAGGATGCATCTACACATTAATGCACATTGGCATTACATTAACTACCCTGGTTTAATACTATGGAATCCTAAGAGCTGTCATCTTACGGTGCCATTAGTTTCCTCTGCTAAAGATTGTGGTGCCTCGCCAAACTACAACTCCCATGATTCCACAGCACTGAGCCATGGCAGTTAAAGTGGTGGGAGACACAAAAAGAGCCTCCTCAAAGAGTAAATTTATTTATTTGCTAGTCGTCCCCTGCCACACGTTGCTGTGGCCCAGTCTGTGTATGTGTGTTTTGTGTGTGTGTGTTTTTGTGTATATGTGTGTTTGCATGCATATGTGTGTGTGTGTGTGTCGTTTTGAGCATATATAGTAATGTAGTTTTTGTTTTTTGGCTTCTGCTGTGTTTTTCAGTGTTTTTATGAGTGATGGTCACTTGTTGACCTGATAGGTGTATTGTGTCCAAATGTGGTGTCAATTCGCTCAGTGGTTTTTGAGTTATGTTAATCCCACAAACGAACATTACATTTTTATTTATATAGATTTATTTAAAACATTTATACCCCATACTTCTCGACCTCTGAGGAGAGACTCAGAACGGTTTCCAAACAGGCAACAATTCAAAGCCAAACATAATATAAAACACATAATAAATACATCCAGAAAATTAAAATAATTCTAAATATACCTTAAGAATCCCCTGGGCAACGTTTCTTGTAAACGCCTAATCTTTCAAATCCCAAAATATTGCTTTACAACATTTTATGCAATGCTTTTGACACAAAATAATAATAAAGTCAAAGTGGTGTCAAACTGCATTAATTCTGAAGTGGAGCTGCATCCAGAGACAAGAGCATGGGACAGGGCAGCCGCTCACCTTCTGCAGCCAGTCCAAAGTAACGATGGGGATGCCTCGAGCCAAGGCACACAAGAACTTGACCGTGCGACACACACGGTCTGTCACAAGGTGGGTGCAGTCAAAGACAGATTCCGCCAGGGAACCGCCCAGTTCCGCCACTACCTGCTCCGCCTCCTCATCAATCACTCCTGTGAACAGCACCTGAGAGACGAGGCGAGAAAGTGGCTTGATAAATACATAGTGGCTGTTGTAAACATGCTACTGATCAGAAGCAGAGTCTCAAAACAGTTAGCAGAAAGGAGTAAGCCAGCCAAAGTCAGCAGTCCAGAATCAAATCACGAAGATTAAACGACAACCAACAAGGGCAAGGCAATGTCATAATCCCTTGGGGACCAATTGATTTTATCCAACTTTCACAAGTGCTATGGTCAGCATTATAGTAAGAGCCCCTGGATCTACCAGGAATGTTTCCTGGTGTCACATAAAAGGTAAAGGTTTTCCCCTTGACATTAAGTCTAGTCGTGTCCGACTCTGGGGGGTGGTGCTCATCTCCATTTCTAAACCGAAGAGCCAGCGTTGTCCGTATACATCTCCAAGGTCATGTGGGTGGCATGACTGCACGGAGTATCATTACCTTCCCACCAGAGTGGTACCTATTGATCTACTCACATATTTCAAACTGCTAGGTTGGCAGGAGCTGGGGCTAACAATGGGAGCTCACCCTGCTCCCTGGATTTGAACCGCCAACCTTTCAGTCAGCAAGTTCAGCAGCTCAGCGATTTAACCCGCTGCGCCATCAGATACATAAATAGCAAATAATAGCAAACTCTACTAAAATAAAGGACTTCTAGCTCAAGAATGCCATAGAGGCATACTAGAGGTTATGAAAATGTCTAGAGAGGACATAAGATTGTCATATGTGGGTAAATGAAACCACAGGGGTTGTACTGTGTTTTACATTGTTTCAACTATTTTCACATTGTGTCGTTTTAAGTGAAAGACAGCATGATTTAGTGGTTTGAGTGCTGGAACTACAACTCTGCAGATCGGGGTCTGAATTCCCACTTGGCCATGAGACTCAGCAGGTGACCTTGGGCAAGTCACACTTTTTCAGCCTCAAAGAAAGATAATGGCAAGGCTTCTGAACAAATTTTGCCAAGAAAATCCTGTGACTGGTGACAGTCATACCTGTAAGTCCAGTGTGGGTCATGCAAATGGACCTGATGCTGAGGCTATCCAATACATTTGGGCATTTACTTATTATTTATTTATTTACAGCATTTATATTTCACCCATCTCACCCTGAAGGGAACTCAGGGCAGATCACAGAACACATAAATGGCAAACATTCAACACAGTTAAACAGACAGGACACACAACAGATAGAATTATTATGTCGGCATTTTCCCAACTTCGGCATCCCAGAGGTTGTGCTCGATTCCGGCCACAGGGGTGCTATCACGCCTGACAAAGAGCCCTTGATCACAGACTTCCTCCTTCCTTTGATTGTAGGCATTTTCTGGTACTTCCTTTCCATGATGCTGTAAAATACCTCCCTGCTTAAGCGGTGCCTAATTTCTCTACTCACAGCTCACAGCTGTTTTCGAACTGCTTAGGTGGATAGTAAACTGGGCTGAAAATTTGGTGCTCACTCCAACCTGAGCTTTGAACTGCCAACCTTTTTTTAACCATTTTGTTTTATTTAGAATAATAATACAAAAAACAATAATAGTAAAGAAAAATTAATAAAGAAAAAGTAATAAAAATTTTAAAAAACTATCAACTTTTTGATTGGTGTGATCTATTGCAGTTGGTGACTAACCAGCTGTGCTAAAGCTCAGCCCTAAGCTAGTTTAAGCTAGTCAGATGACAAAGGCATTGACTACTTCAAATTCCCAGCCTTCTTCATAATGTGGTATGACTCAGCCTACATTTTCCACTCTTATTCACCAAAGGGAGGTCTTCCTCACTACTCAAGAATGATTACAGGAAGTCCCCACCTATCTGATAGGTTAGGGACCGAAGTGTGGAATCAATTGAAAAGTGAAATCCGGGTTATTTTAACTTCTAAATTCATTTTGGTAACTGAATAATGTAAATAGCCACTTTTGAATGTGTGATAAAGCTACCACAACTATCCAAATTCGAATGATCGCTGGCCATTCCAGCTGGAGAAATTCTGGCAGATATAGTTTGAGCTCTAGAGCAATTTGTTAGGAGACTTCTCATTTTTCAAAAATGAGTCCAATGGTAAAGAAGAGCCATTACAGCTTCACTCCTCATGCAGTAAGCACCTTATTGCTCTACCTTGTTGGGTGTGGAGCCATCTTTTATATGGCAGCCCACTCGATTTCTATAATAACTTTACATTGTGCTTTTCACACCGCCTCTGCCACCTTGCTCACTCACTCATCCCCAACAATGTCAGATTACCTGGGGCTATAGATACTTTAATCAATGGCAGACCTATATGTTAAACTCTAAAATCCAAGAAACAGAGCTGGTGAATTTCCTTGGAACATCTTAAGCTCCTCCTTATACCCAATGCACGCATGTAATACCTTTGGAGCAGGAGCACCATAGCCCACAGAAGTCTGGGATTGGGGCCGGGATTTAATTCCCACCGGTTTGCTCTCTGTGCTCTGGTGCCGCGTCCTCCTTCCCGAGGATGGTGTGGACTGTGCTGGGGAGTTCTGAGGGAAAGAAGAAACAAGTTCCAGACCTTAAAAAGTGTTATTTTGGGGGGACTGTAAACCCCAGAACCCTCTAACTATGCTGGCTATGGATTCTGAGTATTGCACACACTCATTGTTTATCATTGTGTGATACTCATTTAGTATCTATTAAAACATATATATCCATTCCTAAATTTTGGGATAAAAGGGCAGCATATATAAAAAAGCAATGAAAACAGCTTAAAACAAATGCAAAACAATAAATGTGATTTGAGATAATGGAACGTATCATTAATTATTATTATTTGAAACACAACAAGATGAGTCCACAGCAGACACTCTGCTGGCTGTTGAATTGGATCACACGTCGAATTATTATTATTATTAGTATTAGTATTATTAGTATTATTTATACCTCGCTTTACCTCTCCCACAGGAGACTCAAAAGGCTTAACTAGTCAAAACATCTCATGGTTAAACCATGTACACTGGGCCCACCATATTTGTACTTTATATTCTGCCCTTCTCACCCCAAAAGGAACTCAGAGTGGATCACAGAACTCATATACAGCAAACATTCAATGCCGATTATACAATGAAAAGACAGACAACATAGATAGAGGTATATATAGGCTTTTCCATCTTTCGGCATCTTGGAGGCTGTTCTCATTGCTGGCTACCGGGGGGTGGGGGGCTTTTTTTATTGTTTGTAAACTTTCCCCTTTTGATAGAATTGCTGCGCCTAAATACCTCCTCACTTTTAACACGGAACCTATTTATCTACTCACATTTCTGTTTTCGATCTGCTAGGTGGGCAGGGAGCGGGGCTGAAGGCCAGGAGCTTACCCTGACCCGGGCTTTGAACTGTCAACCTTTTGGTTGGCAGGATTTACTGCAGCTTCAGCTGGTGATTAACCTATTGTGCGAAAGCCTGGCCTAGTTCCAGGACTCATGTGGATACAGGAAATAGGGGACTATCACATCCCCATATTGTCAAATGGCAGCAACATGAAACACTCATGATCTGGCATAGGGGTGTCAAACTCATTGAAAGCCTCTCGGGCCACATAAAGTGATAAAGGTGGACTGGATTCATCCCATGAGCCTTTCATTTCACACATGTCTAGCACATCCACATTCACCTCAACACCATTTACCAATGGGGAAGAATGATAGTCTCTGGTGAATTAAAAATGAGACCAATCTGACTTTTTAAAAAAAGGGACCCACAGTATCGGAGTTGTTTTTAATTCTCAGAAGCCAAGTTTCCCTTTCAGTCCTTCTTCTACCCACCTTCTCAGGTTTAACAGCTCTCCTAGAACCCTTTGGGCTCGGCGTGTTCACTGAAGAGTTTGAGCGCTTGCTGGACCGGGTCTGAGAGAGGTCTGGCTTCTCTTCCTTCACAGGTGGGGTTGCTGCTCCCTTTCTTGCCCGCCTTGTCACCTCCCTTGTCCCTGGGCTGTTTGCAGTCACCGTCATCTCTCCTTTCAGCTTGCCAGTGGCATCAGATTCCCTTTGTGCGCCCCTGGTTCGACTCAGCCGCGTGGTTACTGTTAGCGTTGCAGGTTTGGACTTCTTGTTGGGACTTGCTTCCTCTTCTTTGGGCTGTTCGGTTTTTCTTTCCGGCTCTTCCATGTACAATGCTGAACTGGTCAGTTGCCGCAGACCCCTGCGCCTAGAGATGGGGGTAGCCTTTTCTTCTGATTGCGGAGTGTCGGTGGATCCTGCACGGATGCGACAGCGGAGGCTTCGTCTTTGCGAGATAGGAGCTGGGGAAGGAGTCGAAGAGGAGCGCAGGTTGTGCCGCTGTGCAGGGGTTGAGACTTCTGGTTCCAGAGGCCCTTCTTTAGAACATCCTGGCACCTGGAATATGCAGAGGGATAAGGTCAGAGGAGGGAACTCGTTTGGCCTCAGGATTCAATCTATATTGTGAAAATATCTCAAGATGACTGGAAGGAGGTCAACGCAGTATTTCTCAACCTTCCTAATGCTGTGACCCCTTAATACAGTTCACTCATGTTGTGGTGACCCCCAACTATAAAATTATTTTCGTTGCTACTTCCTAACCCTATTTTGCTACTGTAATTAATTGTAATATAAATCTGATATGCTTGATGTATTTTCATTCACTGGACCAAGTTTGACATAAATACCCCATACACCCAAATTTGAATACTGGTGGGGATGGAGGGGGTGGATATTGTCATTTGGAAGTTGCAGTTGATGGGATTTATAGTTCACCTACAATCAAAGAGCATTCCGAACTCCAGCAACGATGGAATTGAACGAAACTTGGCACACAGAACTCCCATAACCAACAGAAAAGACTGGAAGGGTTTGGTGGGCATTGACCTTGAGTTTTGGAGTTGTAGTTCACCTATATCCAGAGAGAACTGTGGACTCAAACAATGATAGATCAGGCCCAAACTTGGCACAAATACTCAATATGCCCAAATGTGGTGGGAAAATAGACATTTGACATTTGGGAATTGTAGTTGCTGGGATTTATAGTTCACCTACAATCAAAGAGCATTCTGAACCCTACCAACGATAGAATTGGGCCAACCTTCCCACACAGAACCCCCATGCCTTGAAGGGAGTTAGGGCCTTCCACACAACTCTATATCCCAGAATATCAAGGCAGAAAATCCCACATTATCTGCTTTGAACTAGAATATATGGCAGTGTGGACTCAGATAAGCCAGTTCAAAGCTGATATTATGGGATTTTCTGCCTTGATATCCTGGGATATAGGACCCCTGACCCTCACTGGTGCCAGTCTCCCTCCAGCCTCACATGCTCTCCAATGTGCACCACACTGCCATGCGCCAAGCACGCCTGCTCTCCCCTCCCTGTTGGAGTCTCAGAAACAGCCTCCCCTTGGCTGAGAGGTCAGCTGAGAGGCTGACCAATCACAGCAGGGGAAAGCTTTTTGATGGGAGGATTCGCCATCTGTTTCCAAAAATGAAGGACAAGCAGAGAGATCTTCAGCCTTCTCTGCCAAAGGGGTTCCTAAGACCATCAAAATATATGTTTTCTGATGGTCTTTGGTGACTCCTCTGAAACCCCCTCATGACCCTCCCAGGGTTCCCGACCCTCAGGTTGAGAAACACTGTTCCAAAGGGAAATTACACTTTTCCCACCCCTGGGATAAAAGGAAACTCTGTGGAATGTGAAACTTTTTATTTCCCTCTGGAATAGGAGTAAGATGCTTCAAGACCTTTCTCACAAAGATAAAGCAAATATTATGCCCACCTGGTCAGCATCGCTTGGTTGTCTTATTGGCACTGAACATCTTCCTTCCAACTCTCCATCTAAAAAAATAAACAGCCTCAGATGGGTGCAACCTTTTTTTCTGCCACTAAGAGGCAGTGCTAATCAATATTTCTTCCTTCTGGCCATAATTCCATTACCATAATTCTGCAGAAATCAATTCAATCTGCTCCCCACATTCCATCCTTTCCCATTTTCCAGATGTAAAAGAATACAGTTCCCAACATAGGGCTGATGCAAGTTGGGTTCAATCACACAGAGAAGGCCAAATTAAACCTTGGTCTCCTTTCCAGAGGATTCATGGAGTCAAGTCCTTAGGATTGGCAATTTATTCAAAACTCACACAAAAATAAGGACTCTCAGATCTCCCTTTAGCCAGTACAGCCAGCTATGATGGCTTGAGGATTCTGAAAGCTGTTTCCTATAATAACTTTCCTGTTTTATGGTTTGAAATCTGTTGCCTATTTAACACAGGACAAATCCATTCCACTTCCAACATCTCACTTGGTCAGTAATAATGTTCCTCTGTTTGCAGGAAACTGCTGTGATAGGCAGGTAATAATAATAATCATATAGGGTTGTTGTAGGTTTTTTCGGGCTGTATGGCCATGGTCTAGAGGCATTCTCTCCTGATGTTTCGCCTACATCTATAGCAAGCATCCTTGGCAAGGATGCTTGCCACAGATGCAGGCGAAACGTCAGGAGAGAATGCCTCTAGACCATGGCCATACAGCCCGAAAAAACCTACAACAACTCAGTGATTCTGGCCATGAAAGCCTTCGACAATAATCATTTACTTTACAGCAGAGTCTCGCTTATCCAACGTAAATGCTGGATAAGCAAAATGTTGGATAATAAGGAGGGATTAAGGAAAAGTCTATTAAACATCAAAATACGTTATGATTTTTCAAATTAAGCACCAAAACATCATGTTTTACCACAAACTGGCAGAAAAAGCAGTTCAATACATGGTAACATTATGTAGTAATTACTGCATTTACGAATTTAGCACCAAAATATCGCAATGTATTGTAACAACTGTGAATCCAGGTGGAAGGCAGACTGTGTTGGATAATACAGAATGCTGGATAAGCAAAGGTTGGATAAGCGAGACACTACTGTATTTATATTCTGCCCTATCTCCCCACATATACACATATATGACAAATATTCAATGCCATTATACAATTGACTAAGACAGACAGTACATAAACTTAGGTAAAGGCTTCCCATCTGTTTCCATCTCCGGCATCTGGAGGCCGTGCTCAACTCCAACCACGGGAGGTGCTGTAGCTCCATTTTTCATGCTGAGGAGCTTCGTTGTTCTTAGACACTTCCCCAATTGAATCACTGGCACGTCCGCATGGACACCTTTTATTACCTCCCCGCCGAAGCGGTACCTATTTATTTACTCACATTGCTGTTTTCGAACTGCTAGGTAAGCATAAGCTGGGCTGACGTTTGGAGCTTACCCCAACCCGGGATTGGACTGCTGACCTTTCGATCAGCAAGATTTTCTGCAGCTGGTGGTTTAACCTGCTGTGCTAAAGCCTGGCCCAGGTCACAAATCCCTTACTGAATGATAATCAGTGTGAAAACCTGATTGCAAGACCAGGTACATACACAAAATCTATTGTTTCTGACTTTTCCTGACCGCATTAGCCATTCAGCAACTGCTCCTCCAACACTACAGCCCAGGTATGGGCAACTTTAGTCCACAAGGTGTTTTGGACTTCAACTCCCACAATTCCTAACAGCCAATGAGTTATTACGAATTGTGGCAGTTGTTTTGGACTATTAAGTCCAAAACACCTGGAGGGCCAAAGTTTGCCCATGCCTGGGCTATAGCCACTGTACTGTACAGTTTTGTCTCTCCTCTAGAGAGAGGAACCCTAAAGTGGGGCAACCAAAAAGCCAGCCATTAAGGAATAAAGAGATGATAAAAACACTCCAAATGCCTCCTCCTTCAGAAAGATGCAACAGTGTTATCTATTCGAGGAAGAGAAGGGTGTGACCTTCTCCCCAATGGGTCAGGGATAGAAGAGCACTTGTATACAATATAAAAACATTCATCAACTGTTTACCCCGAGATGTGTTTCTAGTTTCTTCTGTAGATGAGACATACAGGAGGCGAACTGGCCCATTGAAACTTCATAGCTAAGTAAGGGATGCAATTTCAAAACTCCCAAGTATAAACCCAACATTCAAATCCCAGCATCTCATACTGGCTGCCAGGCTTATGGGTCTACATGCCACAGGTGTGTGTGCAATTGCTAGACAGCCAAACACTGTCCAGGGCATCCCCATGGCTTACCTGCCGTACTTTGTGAGCCTTCAGCGATGCTTCCACCTTCAGGGACCACCATAGACACTTGTTTCTCAGTCGTAGAGCTCCTTTTCTCCTCCTGCAATGTCAAAGGTTGGCTGCTGCCCACAAGAGGCATTTGTACTGATTGACCTGCCTGAGTTTCCTCTTCCTTGTTACACTCTTCTGCTACCTCCTCCATGGCGGTCTGAGAGATGGGTTCAGAACAGGGTGATCCTATGGAATAAGGCTGAGTGCTCTCCCCAGAGAGACTGGTGGCCAGCTGCTTGCTAGTGGCTGAAACTGTCACCTCATCCTGTGTGTCTGGCACAGAGCATTTACTCCTTTCAGATGGATTCTGGATACTCTCATCTTCCTCTTCCACAACAAAGGCCTGTGTGGGCTCTTCTGAGAGAGGCCCAGGCTCTGTGCAGAATGCCTGAGTGGCTTCCAATGCGTAAGCATCTGAGTCTGATTCCTCCTCTCTCAGTGGGGATTTCAATTCTGGAGAGAAAAAGAAGATACAATTCCAAGAGTTTTCATACTGCATCCCAGCCTGCCTTCTTCCTCAAACTGTTGCCCTCCACATACAATTATAACACAGATTTTGCTGGGTTCAAGCCCTACACAAAGAGTTTTAATGATTAATTTTAAATTTTGATTCTATGTCTAACTTTTGTTTTGTATATTTTTTAATTTGCATTTTATGGAAATATGTTTTAATATGTGTATTTTTCAGAGTGTTTTAAAGTAATTATGTGTTTGATTATGTGTTTTAGCAATGTTGTAACCCGCCTCAAGCCAGATAAGAAATAATAATAATAATAATAATAATAATAATAATAATAATAATAATGTATTGTCGAAGGCTTTCATGGCCGGAATCACTGGGTTGTTGTAGGTTTTTCCGGGCTATATGGCCATGTTCTAGAGGTATTTTCTCCTGACGTTTTGCCTGCATCTATGGCAAGCATCCTCAGAGGTAGTGAGGTGTGGGGATGCTTGCCATAGATGCAGGCGAAACGTCAGGAGAAAATGCCTCTAGAACATGGCCATCTAGCCCGAAAAAACCTACAACCTAATAATAATAATAATAATAATAATAATAATAATAATAATAATAATAAAATTTGCCATCTCTAACAGTATGCAACAAAATTGCTCCTGGTTTGGAAGTGTTATTTCCTGTTTAATTGTGTGGTATTTACTTTGAAAGTACAGTAGAGTCTCGCTTATCCAACATAAACAGGCCTGCAGAATGTTGGATAAGCAAAAATGTTGGATAATAAGGAGGGATTAAGGAAAAGCCTATTAAACATCACATTACGTTACGATTTTACAAATTAAGCACCAAAAACCTCATGTTTTACAAGAAATCGACAGAAAAAGCCAGTTCAATACACAGTAATGTTCTATAGTAATTACTGTATTTACGAATTTAGCACCAAAACATTGCAATGTATTGAAACAGTTGTGGATCCAGGAAGGCAGACGGTGTTGGATAATACAGGACATTGAATGGGTGAAGGTTGGATAACATTTAACATTTTACCTCATACATTTGGCCCGCCCTCTGTGTCTGGTTTTACTATGCTGTTTTATATTGTTGATTTTGTTATTTCATATTTTGCTATGATGTATTTTGTTATTGTGTGTTTATTATGTGGTATAAACACTATACTGTATCCATCATTTTGGGTTCTTCGTCCTCTCTGTGTACCATGGAGTTAGAATTGCAGCCGTGAAGCGAGTCTACGTTCTGTGAAAGAGATGCATGCCCTCCTATACAATTCAGATCAGGATGAAACGGGGGGTTCTGCTGAGGTGCAGTTTGAAAGTTTTGTGATCGCAAACAAATCCTTACTCTTGATTTGAATGCTTCAAGTTCATTTTTAAAAGCCTGGCCTCATGGGCTTGGCCTCATGTTAGCCGCCCGAGTCCCCTATGGGGAGATGGTGGCGGGTTATAAATAAAGTGTATTATAAGCAAGACTCTACTTCAGTTGTTATACTCCAGAAATTTTGTTTTTGTGGTTGCCACAAACTATGTTAAATTGGTTGAGACTCTTATGAGATAGTCATTGAAAAACTAGCAAGGTATGCTGCTGGATGTCCCATAAAAACAAAGTTTTTGCAATTTAATAAAAAAAACCAAGTTTTCATGAAAAAATCAATTAGGAAATGACATTTATAACCCAGGAACAAAATAATGTGTCAAACATCATTTGCGGCAGCCACAAAAACAAAGTTTTTGGAATATAACAACTACTTTCAAAATTAAAAAAAGGTTTCCCCTTGACATTAAGTCTAGTCGAGTCCGACTCTGAGGGTTGGTGTTCCTCTCCATTTCTAAGCCGAAGAGCCAGCATTGTCTGTAGACACCTCCAAGGTCATGTGGCCAGTATGACTGCATGAAGCATTGTTACCTTCCCGCCGGAGTGGTACCTATTGATCTACTCACATTTGCATGTTTTCGAACTGCTAGGTTGGCAGAAGTTGGCCTAACAGCAGGAGCTCACCCATCTCCCCAGATTTGAACCACTGACCTTTCGGTCAGCAAGTTCAGCAGCTCAGTGGTTTAACCAGCTGCGCCACCAGGGCTCCACTTTCAAAGTAATTACCACACAATTACACAGAAAATAACTCTTTAAAACCAAGAACAGAACGTTTTTCACATTTTGTTACACATTTTTATAGTGTTATAAATTGATAATTTAGAAATATGAATTTTTGTAAGGTATGTTTTAAACTTTGTGTTTCTAATGTATACATTTTTAACAGTTTTGTATTTTTATCTATTAGATTTAGCTACGGTACCCTGCTCAAAACCTTTGAAAGAGGTGGGTACCAGAAGTCAGAGGTATCTAATTGCCTTCAGCAAGAGAAACACATATTGCGATGTGTTTACACTAAAAAAGAACTTGGTGAGGCTCCATGAGGGTTGCAAAGCAACCAGGCTACATCTAGCACAGTGGTTCTCAACCTGTGCGTCCCCAGATGTTTTGGCCTTCAACTCCCAGGAATCCTAAAAGTTGGTAATCTGGCTGGGATTTCTGGGAGTTGTAGGCCAAAACGCCTAGGGAGACACATGTTGAGAACCACTAATTTAGCATATATTGACCAATTCAAATGATGTCAGAACTATTAAGAGTTTATGTGAGTGCAGACTATGAACTTGAAGACCTGAAAGATTCCTGGCAGTCCATCCACAATCAGCCCCACCCCATTTCATATGTTTTCCTCACCTGAAATGTTTGGGAAGCTCATAGGAGAGGAGTGCCTGATCAGAGAGGCTGTGAAAATAAAAAAACAGGATGGAATTACAAGCTGGTTTCATTGCTGCCATGAACATTAAACAGAAACACTTGATCCATTCAATCACACGAACTTTCCTCATACGTATGCCTCCTTCACGTTCATGAAAACATGCTCATATCAGAAGTTGTCACTCTAGGGTGTAAGTAGTACAAAACGCCAAGAGAACTATATAAAAATTATGTGTTACACCAGCTTTAAAAGAAGAATGCCTTCTTGCAGCATCAAGTTGAAACTTGGCTCATCGCCCCCACATTTAGGGTTTGGCGAGGCTATGACACTAGATTTCAATCTAGCATGCTTTGGGGCTTGTTTAAATGAAATGGTTGCAAATTGTTTTTACTGCAACTGCACCAAATGTACCTTGAAATCTGTGAAAATCGGGCCAGTTCACATACTCATAAATAACCTTAATGAAAAATGTAGAGCTTGCTTCCAAATGAAAATGAGTTATAGGTGGCAGCAAATTGTGTACAGATCAAAATTATCAAAATGTATCAAGTCACTTTGGTACAAGGCTTGTAAAATTTGTTATTGTTGTTATTGTTGTTGCTATGTTTGGGTTGCTGTGCGTTTTTCTCGGCTGTAGGTCCATGTTCCAGAAGCATTCTCTCCTGACATTTCACCTACATCTATGCCAGGCATCCTCAGAGGTTGAGAGGTCTGTTGGAAACTAGGCAGGTAGGGTTTATATGTCTGTGGAAGCCCAACAAAGGATTCCCCCAGGCAAAACCCAGGCCAAAAGCCAAAACCCAGGCTTTGAAGCTGCAAGGCCATTTAATGCTAATCAAGGTGAACAATTGCAACATTTAACTTGCCTCAAGCAGACAAAGAGTTATTTCTCCCACCATGGACAGTATTCCAGATATATAAACCTCACTTGCCTCATTTCCAACAGACCTCACAACCTCTGAGGATGCCTGCCATAGATGTGGGTGAAACGTCAGGAGAGAATGCTTCTGAAACATGGTCATAAAGCTCAGAAAACTCAAAGCAACTCAGTGATTCTGGCCATGAAAACCTTCAACAACATGGTATTATGTTTATTTATACCCCATTTTATCTCTTTCAAAGGAGACTCAAAGTGGCTTACAATTAAAAGTATGACCAAATAATTGAAAATATACAAATATGCAAACATTTAAACAGAATTAAACACAGCATATTTTATAGCAAAAGAACGCATATCCTCTGCATGTTTTGTTTAGGTTCCTGTAAAATTTGTTCAGGTATATTTGGTACTTTTTTGGAAACAAGCTCCACAAGCGTTTTCAGATGAACTGAATGCAAGAAGCAGAGATACAGAAGAGGGATTTCTGGGTAATCCCAGAAGAGACTATAACAACCTCTGTTAGTCCTAATCATAGATTAAGAAGATCAATGCCAACGTCACTATGAATGATGATGATGGCCAGATAACAGCTCCTTTGCATCCCCTCTAAAATACCATCAGAGTGCAAGCTGAACTATAGAAGTACTGTTGTTGTTGTTGTTTGTGCTTTACTTTTTCCCCAGATTGGGACACACAGCACCTAACAACTTTAAAAAAGCAATACAGTTAAAAACAGATCGAAGCTAAAAAAAATTAGAAGAGAATCAAGCCATATCAATAATTTAAAAGATTCAATTAAAATACAATTATAAAACAAATGAAGGAGTTTCTGGACACTCTTCAAATACAGCCCCAAGTGGAATGCTACACTAAAGGGCTATTAATTAGAGAGGCCTCTAACAAGCTTACTTTTCCCAAATAGGAGGCTGGTTTGTGCAGGAGGAGATCTGAAGTCCTGGGTTGGCTCCTCTTCCAGGTTCGGATGGGAATCTGGCACGGGATTGGAAAAAAGAAGGCAAAGTATTAGTGTTATTATCCTCTAGTGCAGGCATGGGCAAACTTTGGCCCTCCAGGTGTTTTGGACTTCAACTCCCACAATTCCTAACAGCCTATCGACTGTTAGGAATTGTGGGAGTTGAAGTCCAAAACACCCGGAGGGCCAAAGTTTGCCCGTGCCTGCTCTACTGAAAATGGTATCAAAATGACCAAGCTTGTAACTGCATGACAAGGGAAGCGTCAATATGTATAGAGCTGAAAAAGGGAGCTGAAGACCATTAAGACAGAGCACTGGAAGTTCTGGCATTTTTGCACAGTGGGATTTCTAGTGTCCATTTCAAAAGAAACTACAAAGAAAAATTGGTAACTGAGCTTGCAGGTGAGAATGTGGCCTGTGAGGAGATAGGAGAACTAGCCCCTATACTACAGATGACCATTTCCTCACCCTCAGGGCCAGGCATTTGTATCACTGATATTACATGCCGCTAGTGCCTTAAAATCACAAAGTACACACAAGCCTATAAAGTCCCCAAAAAGCTGCTCCTCTTTGAATCCTGAAACATTCCTCACCTGTCACGTTGGGATTTCTTGCTGTCTCAATCCCAGGCGACGAGAGCTCAGAAGGTAGAAAACATTGTGTTGCCTGGAGATCCAGGTCCTGATCATCTGTGGGGACAAAATGGAACAGGACCCTCTTACTTCCAATGTTCAGCTATGAATCTCAATGCATTATCTGCCATGGCTCGATACTATGGAAATCATGGGAGTTGTAGTTTGCTGAGGCACCAGCCCTCTTTGGCAATAAAGGAGAAAGATTGTGTAAAAATACAACTCCCATGATGCCATACCATTGAGCCACAGTTGTGTCAAACTGCATTCTCTAGTGTAGATCAGTGGTTCTCAACCTTCCTAATGCCTCTCAATACAGTTCCTCATGTTGTGGTGACCCGCAACCACTTCATAACTGTAATTTGGCTACTGTTATGAATCATAATGTAAATATCTGATATGCAGGATTTATTTTCATTCACTGGACCAAATTTGGCACAAATATCCAATATGCCTAAATCTGCACACAGGTAGGATTGGGGGGAGGGTTGATTTTGCCATTTGGGAGTTGTAGTTGCTGGGATTTATAGTTAACCTACAATCAAACAGCATTCTAAACTCCATCAATGATGGAACTGAGCCAAACGTGGCACACAAAACTCTCATGGCCAACAGAAAATGCTGGAAGGGTTTGGTGGGAACACTGTGGAAGCAAACAATGATGGATCTGGACTAAACATGGGACAAATACTCAATATGTCCAAATGTGAACACTGGTGGAGTCTGGGGAAAATACACCTTGACATTTGGAAGTTGTAGATTTATATTTCATTTTCAAAAAGTATGCTGAACCCCACTAACAAAATAATTGGGCCAAACTTCCCACACAGAACCCCCATGAGCAACAGGAAATAATGTGTTTTCTGATGGTCTTTGGCGGCCCCTTTGACACCCCCTCACAACCCCTCCAGGGGTCCCGACCCCCAGGTTGAGAAACGCTAGTGTAGATGCAACTAGTGACAATGGCACTTCCATACATATGGTTTTGGGAGGAGGGTGAAGTTTATAAACTACAAAATATCTTTATAAGAAACTCTCTAAGAGGTAATTAGATGGTGGGGCACCACAAAAAGAGTATAATCTTATCATTTTCAGTGAGTACAAAATGCTGGCAGATTATGGGAAGGATAAAAAGGAATTGAGTATCCCATTCATCATTGGCTGAAATGCTGAAAAGAATTCATCCACATTGCAATGCTTTGCTACAGTTCCCACATGTATATCTCATATCCCAGCATGCACTGCATTAACAAACGGTGTTGTAGTTTCTAAAGGACACCAAACCAATACAAGGTCACACTAGGGTCCAAATGTAATTCTACAGCTAAAAGGAGGTTCAACTTCTCAGATATTTCTCTGCAACATAAGAGCAGCATGGAAATTGTGGCCTTCTTGGTGCTGTTACAACTGGAATTCCCACCATCCCTAACCAGCACGGGAAATCTTATTATTTATTTGTTTATTGAATATATATCCCACCTTTCTTCTGGATGGGAAAACAGTGCAGGATAATGAGAGTTGCAATCCTATCACATCTGGAAGGCCATCTGTCCCCAGCTTTTGCTTTGACACCACAACTTATATTTTAGAGTTGGAGAAATGTCCTTTTGACCTCAACATATTTATATCTTTTATGCCTAACCAGATCACAGAACTGAGGTCTTTAAAAAATCTATTAAGATCCCCCAATTAGAAAGTCTACCAGTGCAGGAAATGAAATTTGCTTTCATTTCCTTTTCCTTCACTCACCATCAGTGCTGCTCTCCTCTCCCGAACTGGACTTGTTTCCCTCTGCGTCTGTATCTTCATCCTCTTTGCAAGGTTCATGGTGGGCTCTCACATCCGCTGCAGAGCCATCCAATTTCTCTCCATTCATGTGAGATCTCTGAGGAACTAATAGTTGAGTCTCTTGCTCTTCTATGGGTTTCACTGGCAACGGTGCAACCACTTCCTCTACACCCATATCACCATCACGAGCTGCCAATTCCTTACGGGATGGAGAAAGCACTTCCACATCTGTATCACTATCCTCAACCTCAATAGACCCAGGACTATCTGGAGGTCTAATAGAATGATTCTCAGGGTTGCTTCTGATACCTTCAACACTGGAACCAGCAACTATGGGTTTATGCTCCACTTTGGAGGCCACATCTTGAATTTCCACCGCCACTTTCTCCTCCTCCTCTTCAACATCAGTATCGCTATCCAGAGAGAGAGCAGGCAGGCACTGAATCTGAGGCAAGATGGCTCCCTTGTCAATGATCTCAGGGTTTTCCTTCCCATCTGAGCTCTTGGATTGTTCATGAACAGTTTCCTTGATGCCCCGCTGTTGAACATTAAGATTAGATACTTCTTTAGCATCAGCACTCGGTTGATCCAGGCAACTGCTAACTTGACGCACAGCCCTTTTGAGAGGGATGTCCTCCAAATCTGAATCATTGTCCTCACAGTGAGAACTGCGGGGCTGAGCAACATGTGAGTTCTCCAGCACCAAGTTAGACATTTCCACATCTGTATCCCCATCACTGTCTGGGGCAGCCTTAGGGGTCTTCAAAGTCTCGGCTTTGGGGAATGTGTCGTCCACATCTGTATCCTCATCGCTGTCCAGAGCAGCTTTATGAGTCTTCAGAGTCTCACCTGGATTGTTCACTTTGAGGGACGTACCATCCAGATCTGCACCACTGTTCTGACATTCATGAGATGGCTGAGACTTAGCCTTCACCTCTGGTTCTTGGGTGGCTTCCTCCACGTCTGTCTCACTGTCCTCATTCTCACCAGGCTGAGAGCCTTTGGGATGTGGTTCTTCTTCTGCTTTTCCCATACCAATGCAGCCACCTTTCATTTGAGGTGCAGGCCCACGATTTTCAAGGCACACGACACTTGGGTTTTCCATCCCATCTTCTACATCTGTGTCATCGTCCCCATTTTCAGCAGTGTTCTGGGCTTTTGGGATAGCCAAGTCCTTTGCTACTTCTTTCTGATCAGAATCACTGCTCACATAGATAACTGTGGGCTGGGCCTTCTGACTGGTAGCATCTGGATCCATCACCACAGGTTCGTCCACATCTGTGTCACTGCTTATTTCTAGAGCTTTGTCAACTTCTGCCAAGTCTCCAGGTCCTGATGGTCTGGACGTGCTACCAGCTCCCTCCTCATCTTCCACATCAGTATCACTATCCAGTTGGAAGTTCTCTATAAGGCTATGGCCAGAAGGAGCAGCTCCTTGCTTCTTAGCTGTATCGTCTTCCGTGCCTGGGAGGCCTTTTGCTTCAACTTCAGCAGATCCTGACTCAACAGCTGTTCTTTCTTGGTCCAAAGGAGGAGGGCCACCATTCTCCAAGGCGGTTACTTCAGCATCCTGACTTTCAAAGCGCAGGCGCAAGGAAGGACAAGGCAGGTCACTGACAGAGAGTTCCCCACTTTCCTCATCACTGTGGGATACAAACGATAAATGTTACAATTAAAACAGATTCCTCTACTCAAACAACAAAACTTCTGGCTTAGTTAAAGAAACAATAGTGATTCATCTACTAAGGTGTTAAATATTTAGGCAGATATGAACAGTTTGTTTTCTTTTGAAAGAAAGGCAAAACTTCCAATTTGAGAAGACCAATGTGGAAGTAAAGGGAAGACACCTCTTCTCAAATAATAATAACAACAACAACAACAACAACAACAATAGGCTTTTCCTTAATCCCTCCTTATTATCCAACATTTTTGCTTATCTAACGTTCTGCCGGCCTGTTTATGTTGGATAAGTGAGACTCTACTGTACTTTCAAAGTCTGCTGTGAACTCATCTTGCTGTGTTTCAAATAATAATAATAAATACAAAAGCCAGCATGGTGATCTTGTTTGCTGTGTGCTAATCTTGTTGTGTATCAAATAATAATAATAATAATAATAATAATAATAATAATAATAATTCTTGCCAACTTCAGGCAGATTACAACATTGTAAAACACACATTCACGTAAAAACATTCTTTGAAAAAAACATATTAAAACATATTTCCAGAAGATACATTTTAAAAAACACAAAACAGAGATTCAGGGTTAAAATTCATCATAGGGTGTTTGCCATTTGCATTTTTAAAAATATATATCTTACAATATAGGTTGAGCATCCTTTATCCGGGATTACAAAATCCAAAATATTTCAAAATCACACCTTTGCTTTTTGATGGTTCAATGTATACAAGCTTTGTTTCATGTACAAAATTATCTAAAATGTTGTATAAAATTACCTTCAGGCAATATTTATTACTAGCTGTCCCCTGCCACACGTTGCTGTGGCCCAGTCTGTTGACATGGAAAATAAAGTAATGAGAAAGTGTTGGTTTCTAATATATGTAATGTCTTTCTGCTTGTGGGTAAACAGTATTTCTTGCTGTTTCTTTGTTAGTGTTGATGTGGAGATTGTCTGGTTTGCCTACTCTGGAACATGCAACATATCACTGTCCTTCTTAAGGGGTCCCTTTCAAATCTATGTGTGTGTGAATCATATCTATCTATCTATCTATGGCTGGATGGCTCTTTGTCAGGAGGGCTTTGATTACGTTTTCTTGCCCTGGTGAAGGGAGTTGGACTGTATGGCCTTGAGTATTTTCTGTTGGTCATGGGGGTTCTGTGTGGGAAGTTTACCCCAATTCTGTCATTCGTGGGGTTCAGAACACTCTTTGATTGTACGTGAATTATAAATCCCAGCAACTACAACTCCCAAATGTCAAGATCTATTTCCCCCAAACTCCATCTGTGTTCACATTTGGGCGTATTGAGTGCTTGTGCCAAGTTTGGTCCAGATCCATCATTGTTTGAGTCCACACTGCTCTCTGGATGTAGGTGAACTACAACTCCCAAACTCAAGGTCAATGCCCACCAAACCCTTCCAGTATTTTCTGTTGGTCAAGGGAGTTCTGTGTGCGCCAAGTCTGGTTCAATTCCATCGTTGGTGGAGTTCAGAATGCTCTTTGATTGTAGGTGAACTATAAATCCCAGCAACTACAACTCCCAAATGACAAAATCATCATTTTTTGAGTAATGGTCACTCCTTGTGCTGTGAGACGTCTTGTTGCCAAATTTGGTGTGATTTCGTTCATTGGTTCTTTTGTTTTTAAGGTACTCATTATGCACAGAGCATTTTTATATATATAGACTGCCTGAAGGTGATTTTATACAATATTTTAGACCACTGGTTCTCAGTCTGTGAGTCCTCAGATGTTTTGGCCTTCGACTCTCAGAAATCGTAACAGTTGGTAAACTGGCTGGGATTTCTGGGAGTTGTAGGCCAAAATACCTGGGGACCCACAGGTTGAGAACCATTATATTAGACAGTTTTGTGCATGAAACAATGCTTGGGCTCCATCTCCATCATTATTCAGGTATTTCAATTTTTTTTTAAAAAAAAATACAAAACTCTTCTGCATTACCCAAGCATTTTAGGCAAGAGATACTGAAATGGTAGCTTTTTTAAAAAAAAAAGTTGGTCCATTGAGGAATATAACCATTTTATTAAAGATGAGTTAATGGGAGCTTGATTTTTAAATTTTTAATCCATTTAATCTAATGCCCCAGAGTTACTTCCCCAGAGACTGTAGCTATGCTTTTGCACAGCAGTTACTAGAATTTTCCATATAGCGCAACCTAAAGACATCTGGGATTTGCTGTCGAAACAGTGACTTTCATAAGCTTTGTGCAACTCTGCAACTATCCTTTACTGCAGGGGTGGACATTAATTTTCTGTCCCTGGGACCGTGTCTCAAAATGTAGGGAGGGGAGGGGTGGACAAACAATAGGAAATTCCAGGAGTGGCTCAAAGTCAATTCCTGGTTTTGAAAATAATGTGTTTAACATTAAACAGCACGTGCTTAGGATTAAAGGTATTTATTAGAGGGAACAGCCTTTTAAAAATGTAAATTCACTGCTTTAGAAATTTCTAAAAGCAAGTAGCCATTCCCCTTCTTTACTAATAAAGTAACCATCTTTTGGGCATGTTGAAATATTTCTTCTGCAGGTTCCACTAAGTTGCCGGTTTTTGCTTCTTTTATCATTCTGAGCAATCATTCAGAAAAAAAGGGTATGGTGAACAACAGTGAAAAGATAATTTAACAGTTAGCAAGCATAATAAAAATGAGAGGAAACAAGATTAAATAAGAATAGTTCAAAACATTCTTCATGAATAAATGCAATTCTTCTCACAATGTGTGTGTATATACAAACATACATATTCCTTTTTACATATTACAATAATTAAAATTTCTAAAGCATCCCCCAAAACTAGCATTCAAAGATGGCATACCTTTCTGGCACAACAGAAGGAGAAGAAAACCTGGAGGAGGCCAAATTGGACCGTCTAGAATCTTCAACAGAGGAAACCGAACCTAATGGGAAAAAAGACAGCATAGAATCATAGATTTGGAAGAGATCTCATGGGCCATCCAGTCCAACCCCCTGCCAGGAAGCAGGAAAATTGCATTCAAAGCACCCCAAACTGAGATTTTCCTGCTTCGTGCTGTCATTTTGGGACGTTTTGGTGAGCCAGTAGTTATATTCTAGTGGAGTAGAAGAGAGTTGCATAAGAGATAGGGAACATTACAGAGGAAACGGCCAGGAAAAGGTTTTCCTCTTTCTCACTACCATAAGTCATATTGTAGCTTTTGGAAAGGCCTATTGCTTGGTCATTGTGCAAAGTGGGGAAACCTGGGCCCATGAGGCATGATTACACTACGACCAGCCCTCACATTTTCTGGGGTTACAAGCACAGGAGCCTGACAAAAGTGGAAAAAATGGGAATTAAAAGAAACTCTATTTTTGTATCTAAGAATACCTCTTTTGGTCTTCCAGCATGACTCTATGGTCAATTTCTACCAGAATCACACTAGATCAGGCCTTCTTAAACTTATTCCCTTTGTGACCCCTTTCTGCCTGAGAAATTCTTATGCGGCCCAGGTTTATAGATATATAAAATAGGTAGAAAAATCAAACATTTACTGACAATAAATCAGCATTTATATACTATAATATAAATGGGTTCCTGAATGAAATGCATACAACAAAAATACCACTTGTATAACATAAACAATAATATAATTCAACAACAGTATATAAACATGCTGCACTGTTAACCTCACAGCGACAACAAACAATATGGTGCAAATTTTTAGTACAGTCGTATCTTCTTATAAGTAGCTTGTGGATCAGCCATCCACGACCGGTTTCGGCCTACCTCAGGCCTTCCTCTGGTGGACTGAAATTAATGTATAAATCAATGTTTTACTCCAGTAGCATACATAGAGAACATCTGTAAAATTAAATATCATAAGTTACAACACATTTAAGTATAGAATCATAGAGTTGGAAGAGACCTCATGGGCCATCCAGTCCAACCCCCTGACAAGAAGCAGGAATATTGCATTCAAATCACCCCTGACAGATGGCCATCCAGCCTCTGTTTAAAAGCTTCCAAAGAAGGAGCCTCCACCACACTCCGGGGCAGAGAGTTCCACTGCTGAACGGCTCTCACAGTCAGGAAGTTCTTCCTCATGTTCAGATGGAATCTCCTTTCTTGTAGTTTGAAGCCACTGTTTTGCGTCCTAGTCTCCAGGGAAGCAGAAAACAAGCTTGCTCCCTCCTCCCTGTGGCTTCCTCTCACATATTTATACATGGCTATCATATCTCCTCCCAGCCTTCTCTTCTTCAGGCTAAACATGCCCAGCTCCTTAATCCGCTCCTCATAGGGCTTGTTCTCCAGACCTTACACTTACAAAGTTATAAACTTGAACAAATTCTCCTCAGGGGATACAGATATTTTTGAGTCAGTGTGTAAAATACTTCAATATTAAGTATTTCTACAATATAATCATTTTCAACATAGTAATTTTCAAACTCTCATAGCCACATTTCGTTCCTTTGATGTAGATACCACTGACTCAAAAATATCTGTATCCCCTGAGGGGAATTTCTTCAAGTTCATAACTTTGTAAGCACTTAAATGTGTTGTAACTTATGATATTTAATGATACATATGTTCAATATGTATGCTACTGGAGTAAAACATTGATTTATACATTAATTTCAGTCCACCAGAGGAAGGCCTGAGGTAGGCCGAAATCGGTCGTGGATGGCTGATCCACAAGCTACTATTATTTATTTATCGTGTCATCAGCAACCATTGTATTACAATTCTAACAGAGCAAAACAAACACACAGATTAAAAAGAAAAAGGGAAAAAAAACACACAGATTTTGCAAATTTGGTATTTGGTTAAATGTCCTTTGACCAGTATCTGGCCACTTGGAGTGCCTCTGGGGTTGCCGCAAGAAGGTCCTCCATCATGCATGTGGCAGGGCTCAGGATGCATTGCAGCAGGTGGTCAGTGGTTTGTTCTTCTCCGCACTCGCATGCCATGGATTCCACGTTGTGGCCTCATTTCTTAAGATTGGCTCTGCATCTCGTGGTGCCAGAGCGCAGTCTGTTCAGCGCCTTCCAAGTCGCCCAGTCTTCTGTGTGCCCAGGGGGGAGTCTCTCATCTGGTATCACCCATGAATTGAGGTGCTGGGTTTGGGCCTGCCACTTTTGGACTCTCGCTTGCTGGGGTGTTCCAGCGAGTGTCTCTGTAGATCTAAGAAAACTATGTCTTGATTTAAGTCATTGACGTGCTGGCTGATACCCAAACAGGGGATGAGCTGGAGATGTCTCTGCTTTGGTCCTTTCACTATTGGCTGCTACTTCCCGGCAGATGTCAGGTGGTGCAATACCGGCTAAGCAGTGTAATTTCTCCAGTGGTGTGGGGCACAGACACCCTGTGATAATGCGGCATGTCTCATTAAGAGCCACATCTACTGTTTTAGTGTGGTGAGATGTGTTCCACACTGGGCATGCATACTATAAGCTACTTATAAGAAGATACAACAAGAAACTTATAAGAAGATACAACTGTACTAAAAATGTGCACCATATTGTTTGTTGTCGCTGTGAGGTTAACAGTGCAGCATGTTTATGCACTGTTGTTGAATTATATTATTGTTTATGTTATACAAGTGGTATTTTTGTTGTATGCAATAAATCAGCATTTGCAAGGCTTGCTAAATGGGCTGATATTCCTTTTTATAAAGTACAACTAAAGCATTTTCTGCAGAGTCCATTATAAACACTGCACATTGTTGTCTAAATGTCTAATAAATAATAATAATAATAATAATAATAATAATAATAATAATAATAATAATAATAATAGGTTCTTGTAGGTTTTTTCGGGCTATAGGGCCATGTTCTAGAGGCATTTCTCCTGACGTTTCGTCTGCATCTATGGCAAGCATCCTCAGAGGTAGTGAGGTACCTCTGAAGATGCTTGCCATAGATGCAGGCGAAACGTCAGGAGAAATGACTCTAGAACATGGCCCTATAGCCCGAAAAAAACTACAAGAACCTAGTGATTCCAGCCATGAAAGCCTTCGACAATAATAATAATAATAATAATAATAATAATAATAATAATAACAACTTTATTTATACCCCGCCACCATCTCCCCAAAGGGGACTCGGGGCAGCTAATATGAGGCCAAGCCCAAAAATACAATACAGTGAAATAAAATACAAAGAAACAAAAAAAACCTACATCAAAATAAGATATATGAAATAATAAAATAAAATAAATAGTTGCAAAATAACGAAGAGATAGAACACAATGGGTAGGCCAAATGCGCAGCATAAAAATGACAAAACCCTGAGTGAGATAGTAGTGGATACAACAAAAATGCCACTTATATAAGATAAACAATAATAAAATTCAACAAACAGTATATAAACATGCTGCACTGTTCAACCTCACAGTGACAACAAACAATATCGTGCAAATTTTAGTACAGTCGTATCTTCTTACGAGTAGCTTGTAGATCAGTTGTCCACGACCGGTTTCGGCCTACTTCAGGCCTTCTTCTGGTGGAAAAGTTGTTATACACTTGAGAATTTGTTCTCCTCAGGAGATACAGATTTTTGGCTCAGTGGTACATGATACTCCGCTCTATGTTGAGTTCTGGTTGCGACATAGAGCACAGTATCATATACCACTGAGCCAAAAATCTGTATCTCCTGAAGAGAACAAATTCTCAAGTGTATTATTTATTTATTTATTTATTTACTTCATTTGTATACCGCCATTCTCAGCCCTAAGGCGACTCATAGCGGTTTACAACAAGCACAAACAAGGCGAACAATCAAGGCAAAAATTCAATGCGGCATCAACAAGGTACTTAAAAACAGTTAACACAGAAACAAATTAAACAATTTAACAGTCATAAACATTCAGTGGCGTCTCATAACTAGAATCATGGTCCATACTCGTCAGTCGTAGTTCCATTTCCTGAAATTCATTGCACTGCTTATTCAAACGCCTGTTCAAATAACCAGGTTTTCACTTTCCTCCGGAATACCATCAATGGGGGGGCCAATCTGATGTCCGTGGGAAGGGCGTTCCACAGCCGAGGGGCCACCACCAAGAAGGCCCTGTCTCTCGTCCCCGCCAGCCACGCCCGTGTTGCAGGCGGGATCGAGAGCAGGGCCTCCCTGGAAGATCTCAAAGTCCTAGTGGGTTCGTAGGTGGAGATGCAATTGGATAGGTAACTTGGGCCAGAACCGTTTAGGGCTTTATAGGCCAAAGCCAGCACTTTGAATTGGGCCCGGTAGCAAATTGGTAGCCAATGGAGCTGGCGCAACAGAGGGGTTGTATGCTCCCTGTGTGCCACCCGTTAGTATCATGGCTGCCACACGCTGGACCAATTGAAGCTTCCAAGCCGTCTTCAATAGCAACCCCACGTAGAGAGCGTTGCAGTAGTCTAAACGGGATGTAACAAGAGCGTGGACTACCGTGGCCAAGTCAGACTTCCCAAGGTACGGGTGCAGCTGGCGCACAAGCTTTAACTGTGCGAATGCTCCCCTGATCACCGCTGAAACCTGGGGTTCCAGGCTCAGCGGTGAATCCAGGATCACACCCAAGCGGCGAACCTGCGTCTTCAGGGGGAGTGCGACCCCATCCAGCACAGGTTGTAACCCTATACCCTGTTCCGCCTTGCGACTGACCAGGAGTACCTCTGTCTTGTCTGGATTCAATTTCAATTTGTTCGCCCTCATCCAGACCGTCACAGCGACCAGGCACCGATTCAGGACCTCGACAGCCTCCTTAGTAGCAGGTGGAAAGGAGTGACAGAGTTGGACATCATCCGCGTAGAGATGACACCGTACTCCGAAACTCCAAATGATCTCTCCCAGCGGCTTCATGTAGATGTTAAACAGCATGGGAGACAGTACTGAACCCTGAGGAACCCCACAAGACAAAGGTTGTGGGGTTGAACAGGTGTCTCCCAATAACACCTTCTGAGATATAACTTTATACCACAATTCAAAGTGCTGGCTTTAGCCTATAAAGCCCTAAACGGTTCTGGCCCTACTTACCTCTCCGAACGCATCTCCTCCTATGAACCAACTAGGACACTAAGATCATCTAGGGAGGCCCTGCTCTCAGTCCCACCTTTGTCACAAGTACGTTTGACGGGGACGAGAGACAGGGCCTTCTCAGTAGTGGCCCCTCGGCTGTGGAACTGCAGATATCAGATTGGCCCCCTCCCTACTGGCGTTTCGGAGGAAAGTGAAGACCTGGCTGTTCGAACAAGCATTTGATTAAACAGTGTAATTGAACATAGGAATACGGAATAATGGATGACGGGACTGGATTCTGATTTTACTGTTGAGGTGCTAATGATTGTTATACTGATGTTAATGATTTATGTGATAATTGTTTTTAATTGCCCTATACTTGTTTTGTGATGTTTTGTACTGATGTTGTTCACTGCTTTGAGTCGCCTGAGGGCTGAGAAAAGCGGTATAGAAATAAAGTAAACAAACAAACAAACAAATAAATAAATACAACAACCCAGTGATTCCGGCCATGAAAGCCTTCGACAATACAACTAATTACCCGTATATTCCGGCATATAAGACAACTGGGCGTATAAGACGACCCCCAACTTTTCCAGTTAAAATATAGAGTTAAGACGACTCCCATGCATAAGACTACACCCGCGTATAAGACGACCCCTGACTTTTGAGAAGATTTTCTTGGGTTAAAAAGTAGTCTTATACGCCAGAATATACTGTAATTGTTTCTCCTTCCTTAATCTGAAATCATACGGATTAGATCGACATATAAAGATGAACCAAGTTACAGTCCCCCTCCCCCCTCCCCCAATTCTGCCTTTTTACTATGCTTAACACCATTCAAATAAAACAGGGATTTGAAAAATGCACCTTATACATCACTTTTATGCAACTGGTTCTCCAACCTTTCTTATTTTTATTTTTAAATGGCACTGGTTTTAGGCAAATCTTGCCCACAAACCATGTAAAAAGCACACAAAATGTGCAAAATCCAATCCCAACCTCATAAGCATCACAGAAGCCCGTATTACCCCAAAATATCTCTGTTTTCTATGCAATCCCTCTCAAAAGGTTAACAGGAAAAGATGCAAACACCACTTTGTAGCACCATTTTGGGAGGGATTGCAGAGAAAAAATGGAAATATTCGAGTCCTGGGAAATGGGGGAGAGATACATGCCGCAGAGGAGGAATCGGGATGAAATTGTCCCCTATCTCTTATGCAGCTGCCACATATAAACTCTCTTCTACTCCACCAAAATATAACCTCTGGCTCACCAAAACAGTGGTTGCAATGGAGAACTTCATCAACCCAAAATGACAGCATGAAACCCTCAAAATATGCTTGTCGCACCATAAACAAGCCCTGACCTTTTAGCCGAATTCAGAGTACAATTAGAAGCTACAGTTTGTTGTTTGCTTCCAAACTATACTGTAGAATTAATGCAATTTGACACCACGTCAACAGGCATGGCTCAATAACATTTGTGGTACCAAAATGTGTGTTGGTCAGGGTTATTCAAATAGTGTTCACTATTTATTTACTTTATTTATTTACTTTATTTCTATACCGCTTTTCTCAGTCCTCAGGCGACTCAAAGCACAGGCATGGGCAAACTTTGGCCCTCCAAGTGTTTTGGATTTCAACTACCACAATTCCTAACAGCCTACACTCCCCCTGAAGTCACAGGTCCACAGTTTGGGTGTCCTCCTGGATTCATCACTGTCGCTTGAAGCTCAGGTGTCGGCGGTGGCTGGGAGGGCCTTCGCACAACTAAGACTTGTGCGGCAACTGCGACCGTACCTCGTGAAGGCGGATCTGGCCAGGGTGGTCCATGCCTTAGTCACTTCCAGATTGGACTACTGTAATGCACTCTACGTGGGGCTGCCCTTGAAAACGGCCCGGAAATTTCAATTGGTCCAACAGGTGGTGGCCAGATTGTTAACTGGTGCTCCTTACAGAGAGGTCTACCCTCCTGTTTAAGGAGCTCCACTGGCTTCCATTCATTTTCCGGGCCCAATTCAAGGTGCAGGTGTTTACCTACAAAGCCCTAAATGGTTTGGGACCCGCCTACCTGCGTGACCGCATCTCTGTGTACGAACCCACACGATCTCTTCGTTCATCTGGAGAGGCCCTGCTCACGATCCCACCTGCATCGCAATTGCGATTGGTGGGGACGAGAGATAAGGCCTTCTCGGTGGTGGCCCCTCGACTCTGGAACTATCTCCCTAAGGACATCAGGCAGGCCCCGTCACTAGCAATCTTTAGGAGAAGCTTGAAAACGTGGTTGTTCCAGTGTGCCTTTCCAGAATAAGGAAACTCCTAGCATTGTGTCCCAACGCACTTTATCAGAGATCCAGGATATCTGCATGCCCATCCCCCTCCAAACACCCCACCTTGTCATGCCCAGCACTTTTTAATTTTAATTATTACATTTGGCCCGTTCATTGTTTTTAATTGCGTCATTAGATGTTGTTAATGTTATTGCTTTGTTTTTTGTTTTTGAGTTACTGTGTTGTTGTTGCTGCTGTTTTTGTTTTTTGAGTTGTGTTGTTGCTGCTGTTTTTGTTTTTTGAGTTGTGTTGTGTTGTTGTTGCTGCTGTTTTTATTGTTGTATTTGGGCTCAGCCTCTTGTAAGCCGCACCGAGTCCTTCGGGAGATGGTAGCGGGGTACAAATAAAGGTTTATTATTATTATTATTATTATTATTATTATTATTATTATTATTACTACCACCAGCTGTTAGAAATTGTGGGAGTTGAAGTCCAAAACACCTGGAGGGCCAAAGTTTGCCCATGCTTGTTATAGCAGCTTAAATACTGGCACTATAAGAGATGAAGGACCAAATATGGGCTTCCTTTAAAACTTACCATCTTCCGTTTTGTGAGGAAGGATTCTGTTTGCTCCATTCACCTCGTCTTCCTCTTCTTCTTCCTTGTCCGAATCCTGAACCAGGACCCCGCCAAAGCCCATCCGCTTCTTCCTCCCTGGCGCAGGTGTCTCCTCGATGACCAGGGCGCTGGCATCCACTTTCTGGGTTGGGGGAATCTCCATTGAGTCATTGGGGGATTCAAGCTCAGCCTCTGTCGTCGACATGAAATATTGGCATCCCACATCACCAAAGATTAAGGAGTCCCCATCTTGAAGGCTGTAGCGGACCTGCGGGATCAAGACCATCCGTTGGCGCCGGGTGCGGTTTAGGCTGCCCTTGTCATACAAAAGGTGGGGCCCATCAGAGCTGGGGACCTCGATCACAGCGTGGGCCTTGGAGACTGACGAGGCAGGCAAGCAGATCTGACAGCTTTCCAGGCGCCCAATGACATTCTCCCCTGGGTAGATCCAAAAATCTGGAGACGAAGGAAGTCAAGACATGAGAGTCATAGAATCACAGAGAGTTGGAAAAGATCCCAATGTCCATGCAGTCCAAACCCCATTCTGCCATGCAGGAAATCAAAGCACTCCTGACATATGCCATCCAGCCTCCTCCAGAGAAGGAGATTCGACCACACTCTCAGGTAGCATGTTGTCTGGGACTGTGGTGGAATCTTATCCTGTGGAGCAGGGTTCCTTAAACTTTTTAAACAGAGGGCCAGGTCACAGTTCCTCAAACTGTTGGAGGGCCGGATTATAATTTGAAAAAAACATGAATTCCTATGCACACTGCACATATCTTATTCATAGTGCAAAAACAGTTTAAAACAGTACAATAATTAAAATGTAGAACAATTTTAACAAATATAAGTTTACTAGCTGTGCCCTGCCACGCGTTGCTGTGGCCTATAGTAAGAGTTTTGAAGTCTCTGCCTGGCCTCACTTCCTCCTTTCTTCTCTGGTTGTGTCTGGTTGTGATTCCCCAGGTTGTGCCAGTCAGCTTTTGTATGATATTGTTTCTAGCACCCACACACATACAGACGAAGACGAAAAAAGAGAGGGAAGAGCCAAAGGAAAAAGAAAACGGCAGAAAAAATTACATTTATATCCCTTCACCCTTCCTTCTAATAGGCGAGGGGAGGAGGGAAGAGCAGACCCTGATTTTCCTCTCTTCCTATTGGCTGCGGCAGAAGGCATTCTAGCCAATGGCATTTAGGAGCGCGTGGACTGAGGAACGCGCTAAAACCACTGAGTCCTCTGTGTAGACTTCAACTCCCAGAAGCCTTACCAGCTTGGGTGAATAGTGAGGGCTTCTAGAAGATGAAGTCCACAATTACATGAAAGCCCGGCGTTTGGGGAACTCCAAACACACTGCGCAGCGGGAAGAAGAGCCTGCCGCTTGCGAGAAGGAAGCCTCTGACATCAGCGGGAAGGGAGGGGCCTCTCGAAGCGAGCTTTTGCTTTGGCGGTGGGTTCGAAGCGTCGCCTTTGGATGGATCCATAGTTGTTGTTGTGTGCATTCAAGTAGTTTCAGACTTAGGTTGATCCTAAGCGAGGGCCGAGTAAATAACCTTGGAAGGCCATATCCGTCCCTCGGGCCATAGTTTGAGGACTCTTGCTCTGGAGGTTTTAAAACAGAGGCTGGATGTCCATCTGTTGCAAGAAATTTGACTGTTTTCCTACCTGGCAGAATGGGATTGGACTGGATGGCCCTTTAGGTCTCTTCCAACTCAATTATTCTAAGGTTCTGACTTAGCATAAAACAGCTTCATTTGTTTCCATATGTCTTGCTTATTTTTTCTGAGTGAGAAGTAGTACCAAACCTTCTACCTCCCACCTCGGAGTTTAAGATCTTCTGGGTTTTGCTCTCAGCCCTGTCTCTGTCGCAAACGCACTTGGGGGAACGGGGAACAGGGCCTTCTCGGTGGTGCCCCCTCCCGCCGCCTGTAGAATTCACTCCCCAGTTAAATTATATTATTGACGTCACTCCTTTCCTTTAGAAAGAAGTTAAAAATGTGGATGTGAGACCAAGCCTTCGGGTAATCTTGCTGACAATGACAGTGACAATGATGACAATCGCTATGGAAATGGACTATGGACATGCTTGATGGAGTCTCTAACTACAGAATTTGCCTCTGATAAGGCCACCATGCTGTTATTGAAACAGAAACAGATTTTAATTAATGTGATTTAATGTTTTAAAAATATGTAATTATTGGATTTTAGTACGTATTTTATTATGTGTACATTGGAGGCAACAAATTGTTGCCGGCTGGAAGCCGCCCTGAGTCCCCCCCCCTCCGGGAGGGGGGTTTGAGAAGGGCGGGGTACAAATATCTGAAATAAATAAATAAATAATAAACAAACCATCACTTCAAACACTTTTTCAAACTTCCTCCCTGACCCCATTTCTATCATAGGCAGTGGTTATTCAATCTGACATAAGCACCTCTGATACGATTACATAATCAAAGGTGAATCATAGTTTGAAGCTAATCTAAAGCTAGCCGACAATCTTGCTTAGTTCAGGAATATGTAAGGAGGGCGATTATGTAAGGCATAACTCAGCATCACACAGCCCCCAAAAGGCCCCACCAAAGTTTTGGAAGCTTAACCCGCCAATTTGCTCGTAACCACTTAAGAAAAACTATTTTCGAATCTGAAGAAATCCCCAATTTCACAGGTACGTCCTACACTTGGATTTTTATTCGTGGCATGAATGTGAAAACACCTATCTTTGTGCATTCAGTCAATATACAGGCGGTTCCCATGTTACGAACAAGATAGGTTCTGTAGGTTTGTTCTAAAGTTGAATTTGTATGCAAGTCAGAACAGATACATTTTTAAGTGTAAGTCCATCCATCCATCCATCATATAAGTTTTAGATAGAATAGTGAAGGGTTGATACCCCTGGTATTTATTTTACTATCTGTGCCCCTGTTCAGTAGATTTCACCTCACTTTCGGTCCCTGTGATAACTGGATTTTGAAAAATTTGGCTTGTTGTGGAAACAAGGATTGGAGAGAAAGCTTCAGTGGAGATAATGAGAAGACAGGAAAGCTTAGAGAAGACAATGATACTGGGCAAAATGGAAGGGAAAAGGAAGAGGGGCCGACCAAGGGCAAAATGGATGGAGGCTATCCTTGAAGTGACTGGCTTGACTCTGAAGGAACTGGGGGTGGCCACGGACGATAGGGAGCTCTGGTCTGGGCTGGTCCATGAGGTCACAAAGTCAGAAGTGACTGAACAAATAAACAACAAAACCTTTTCCCTATGTTAAGTCTTCCAGGAGTTGTCTCACTCCCGTTCTCAAATATGAGTCATTTGTAACTCGGAAACTGCCTGTAATATTATCATATCCTTATATCTTGGCTTTCCTCTGCCAAATTTAAGGCAGCTGCCCCATTTATCTTCTCAACAGCCCTGCAAAGTACCATAGGCTGAGATTTATAGGCCCAAAGTCTAATGCAGAATTTAATTTCCAAAATGGAAGTTGAACCTGAAATTCTGAAGTCTCAAACCATTAAAACCTGTCATCCCCAAAATTGTGGTCCTCCAGGTATTATGGACCAGATTTTTTGGCATTGGCCAAAATGGTTAAGGTTACTGGGGGTTGGAGTCCAAAACACCTGAAGGGCCAGCGTTTGGGAATAACTGCTCTAAATTATACCACAAATTGAGGGCTAAATCCTATTGCCAGTCTCAACTAACTAGTCTTTGAATTAATGTGATTAATCTACATCAGGCATGTGCCGGCAGGATTGAAAGACCGACAGGACGCAGGTTCAAATCCAGGGAGAGGCGGTTGAGTTCCCTCTATCAGCTCCAGCTCCCCATGCGGGGACATGAGAGAAGCCTCCCACAAGGATTATAAAACATCAAATCATCCGGGTGTCTCCTGGGCAACGTCCTTGCAGACGGCCAATTCTCTCACACCAGAAGCAACTTGTAGTTTCTCAGGTTGCTCCTGAGAAAAGACAAAGAAAAGGGGCAAACTTTGGCCCACCAGGTGTTTTAGACTACAACTCTCACAATTCCTAACAGGGTGTTAGGGATTGTGGGAGTAGTAGTCCAAGACACCTGGCAAACCGATCTACATGATAATATACTGTACATCAACAGATTCAATGAGAATCCTCTATTTGGGATTAAAACCGCTTTGAGTCTCCCCAGGGGTGAGAAAAGCGGTATATAAATACTGCAAATAAAATTAATTAATTAATTAATCCAACAGGATTTCAGTTTCGCTCTCTATGCAAACTTCTGAAGGGCTTTTGTAAACAAGCAGCATAACCCAGGCATGGGCAAACTTTGACCCTCCAGGTGTTTTGGATGTCAACTGTTTTAATGTATATTTATAAGTATTCTTAGGTATTTGATTGTATTTTATTATGTGTTTATATTGTCTCGGAATCGAATTGTTGCCTGTTGGTAGCCGTCCTGAGTCTCTCCCTGGAGGTCGAGAATGGATGGGGTATAAATGTCCTAAATAAAACTCCCACAAATCATAACAGTTAGGAACTGTGGGAATTGAAGTCCAAAACACCTGGAGGGCCCAAGTTTGCCCATGCCTGGCATAGCCCCATTCTTAGGGTGCATCTACACTATAGAATTAATGCAGTTTGACACTACTTTAACTCCAATGGCCCGATGCCATGGAATCATGTTTTTGCAAGCCACCTTGGGAGAAAGAGTGGCATCTAAATAAAACAACATTAATAAATACAATTTAGTTGTAAAGACTATTTTAAGTGTATTGATAATGTTTTAATATGTCTCTACTACACTGTACGATTTAATTGTTTCTTAACTTTTGTAATGAGCTTTTAAAAGTGTGGGTTTGTTAATTGCCTTGAGTCCCTACAGCGGGAAAGGCAGGGTATAAATACAGTTGTTAATAACAACATCAACCTTTTAATTTAATGTATTTGCAAGCTGCCTTGCGCCTCACTCTAATTTAATGTTTTTCCATTTTTGTGTCCCACTTTGGGAGAAAACTGGCATATAAATACAATAATATCAACACATATAATAAAATTAGTTGGAAACCTTTTAATTTAATGTATTTGCAAGCCTCCTAATTTAACGTTTTCCCATTCTTCTGTCCCACTTTGGGGGAAAGGTGGCATATAAATACAATAATATCAACGCATATAATAAAATGTGTTGGAAACCTTTCAATTTAATGTATTTGCAAGCCACCTTTGCATCGCACTGCAAAGGTGGCATATAAATACAATAATATCAATACATATAATAAAATGTGTTGGAAACTTTTTAATTTAATGTATTTGCAAGCCACCTAATGTAACATTTTTCCATTCTTGTGCCCCACTTTGGGAGAAAACTGGCATATAAATACAATAATATCCATATGTTTAATAAAATGTGTTGGAAACCTTTCAATGTAATGTATTTGCAAGCCACCTTTGTATCTCACTTTGGGGAAAAGGTGGCATATAAATACAATAATATCAACGCATATAATAAAATATGTTGGAAACTTTTCAATTTAGTGTATTTCAAGTCACTTTTGCATCCCACTTTGGGGGAAAGGTGGCATATAAATACAATAATATAAATGCATATAATAAAATGTGTTGGAAATCTTTCAATTTAGTGTATTTGCAAGCCACCTTTGCATCCCACTTTAGGGGAAAGCTGACATATAAATACAATAATATCAACACATATAATAAATTGTGTTGGAAACATTGCAATTCAATGTATTTGCAAGCCACCTTTGCATCTCACTTTGGGAGAAAACTGGCATATAAATACAATAATATCAATACATATAATAAAATGTGTTGGAAACCTTTCAATGTAATGTATTTTTAAGCCACCTTTGCATCCCACTTTGGGCAAAAGGTAGCATATAAATTATATATATATATATATATATATATATATATATATATATGTGTGTGTGTGTGTGTGTATGTATGTATGTATGTATGTATTGATATTATTGTATTTATATGCCACCTTTCCCCCAAAGGTGGGATGCAAAGGTGGCTTGAAAATACATTAAATTGAAAGGTTTCCAACACACACACACACACACACACATATATATATATATATATATATATATATATATACACACACACACACACACACACACACACACATACACACACACAATGTTAATAAATATAAAAGCTTTAATTGTAGACATCCTTACCTTTTTCAGGGCCATATTTGCTGCTCAAAAGGTGCAGGCGCCCAACAGGTTTGGGGGCATTCCCATGAGAAGACTCATTGGGATCCCCTTCCTCATCCCAGTCCAACAACTGAGTTTGCTCCATTTTGCAATAACTATATAGCTATATATATGTAGGTACAATGTTACTCCTTCCCTTTGCCTTTCCAAACCTCATCTGCATCCACCATCTCCTTGCATTAATCCTTTAATTTCCTTGATATCCTGTCTCCTTGCATTATTCCCTTGATATCCTCCTTCAATATATATACAAACACATATTATATCCTAATGGCTAGCCCACACACACCTATGCACCTTTTCCCCAATCTTTCTTACTTTAGGTGCCTGTCCCTTTAAATCTAACTCCCGCCTTTTTCTTTCCCATTTGAACCTATTGAGAGGGGTCTCCGCTCCCCCAAATAGCACTCTGGTATCCAATTTTCGTGCGCCCCGCCTTCTTTTGCGCAGGACCTTTTTCTTATTGGATGCTGCGGCTGCCACTTTAAACGCTTCCCGTCCTACGATTGGTCGGTTTATTTCAATGGTTGGCGGGGAGTAAACGGCTCAGACTTCCCTCACTCTTTTCAATATAAGCGACGGAAAATCACAGAGACAGGAAGTGTCCAGTCTAGAGCGTAATACCAGTAGCATAGAGTTGCTTCAGCCATAGGGTTTCCGGCTTCGACTTCACGGCGGCGGCCATTTTGTTTGGCCTCCGAGCGAGAGGGTGGAAGTATACAGTCAATGCAATACATGGAGAGTCAATGCAGATAGATGTCTAATAGCCTGTCCTCCCTATCCGCGGGTAGACGGGCCTCCGTATCCGCGGGTTTTGTATACACGGGCACAACCACTCCTCAGTTATTTTTTTCTTAATTTTAAAACAATGTTTCTTATCTCTACATCATTGCATCTGCACTGTAAGAAAAATATTAATTGCGGTGCATCCACACTGTAGACTTAACACAGTTTGATACCGCTTTAACTGTCCTGGGCTTTGTAGTTTGGGTAAGTACCAGTCCACTTTGGCAGAGAAGGCTAAAGGCCTGCTAAAACCACAACTTGCCAGATTCCATAGAAATTCCCCAAGGAAGTTAAACTGGTATCAAACTGTGTTAAGTCTACAGTGTGGATGCACCGCAATCAATATTTTTCTTGGCCCGTTAATTATTATTATTAACTTAATTTCTATCCCCACCTTTCTCTGCATAGGGACTCAAGGCAACTTACACGACCTTTTAAACAGAGGCTGGATGGCCATCTGTCAGGGGTGATTTGAATGCAATATTCCTGCTTCTTGGCAGGGGGTTGGACTGGATGGCCCATGAGATCTCTTCCAACTCTAGGATTCTATGATTCTATGACCCAATAACAATATAAAACAAGGCAAATACCAAATTATTATTATTTATTTGAAACACAACAAGATGAGTACACAGCAAACAAGATCACTCTGCTGGCTGTTGTATTGGATCACACGTTGGACACTTTCCAAGTGTCTAGGACTGTGTGATGTATTGGCGAATAATGTGTGCAGATCTGAGTAGGGTGGCCTTTTGCAGCTGGCAGATGGTAATTTTGTCAGTGCTGATTGTTTTTAAGTGCAGGCCAACGTCATTAGGCACTGTACCCAGTGTGTCGATCAGCACTGGGACCACTTTTACTGGCTTGTGGCAGAGTCTTTGCAGTTCTATCTTAAATCTTCATATTGTGTCAGTTTTTCCATTTGATTCTTGTCAATTCTGCTGTCACCTGGGATTGCAACATCGATGATCCATACTTTCACGATCATGAGGTCAGGACTATTGTGCTCCAAAACTCTGAATTCGAAAGTCTCAGAGTAGTTTGACATGTTCATTCTCTGTGACATTTTCAGGCTTGTGATCCCACCAGTTCTTTGCCACAGGCAGATGGTATTTGTAGCACAAGGTTCAGTGGATCATCTGAGCAAGATGTTATGCCTCTGCTTGTAGTCCATCTGCACAATCTTCTTGCAGCAGCTGAGTATGTGATCCATCGTTTTGTCTGCTTCCTTGCAGAGTCTACACTTGGGATCTGTCAATGACTTTTCAGTTCTGGCTTTGATGGCATTTGGGCTGCAAGAATCAGGCCCCCAGTTTCCTTTTCAAAGTTTAATTTGTGAGCCACATCCATGTTGTTGTTTTTGTTGTTGTTGTTGTTGGGATTGTGGCGCAGCCGGCTGAGTGTCAGCTGCATTAAGATTACTCTGACCAAAAGGCCATGAGTTCGAAGCCAGCTGAGGTTGGAGTGGGTTTCCAACCATTGTGTAGCCCGTTGTCGACCTTTGCAACCCGAAAGACAGTTGCATCTGTCAAGTAGGAAAATAAGGTACCACCTTAAAAGTGTGGGGAAGCTAAAATTAACTAATTTATGAGGCCATAAAGAAGCACTCCAGTGGCGAAGCATGCGAGGAATGTGGAGGTACTTCATCAGCGTCGCAGATGGACGATGAAAGCGACAGCTCCCCTGGCGGCCGGAAAAAGTTAAATAGCCTCTGTGTAAGTCTGTATATGTCTGTAAGTCAAAATTGGCATTGAATGTTTGCCATATATGTGTACACTGTAATCTGCCCTGAGTCCCCTGCGGGGTGAGAAGGGTGGAATATAAAAGCTGTAAATAAATTATTATTATTATCATCATCATTATTATTATTATTATTATATATTTGTGTCCTGGACATAAAGTTAAAATACAATACAATTATAATAGCATTTAATGGGTTTTTAAGGACAGGAGTCGGCATTACCAGGTTAAACCATTTATCAAATGAAAATAAAATAAAAATCACAGGTGATCACTGCAGGTGGGTTTTCCTACCATCCTCCATGTACCATAATTGCATGAATCAGGCCCCTTCCATACAACTGTATAAAATCCCACATTATCTGTTTTGAACTGGGTTATATGGCAGTGTGGACTCATATAACCCAGTTCAAAGCAGATATTGTGGGATTTTCTGGCTTGATACTCTGGGTTATACGACTGGGTGGAAGGGCCCTTGGAGACTTGAGATGGTGTTCCTTTGCCTCCTATGTCTGCACAGTAAATAATTTTAGAAAGAACAGCAAGAGGGAAGTGTTTGGGTTTTTTTCCAGCCCAGGCCTCTCATTCATTGCATTTAGGTTCCCCTTGATATCAGCAGGAATGAAGTAATCATTGGGGGATTGTGTGGACAAAGTGGAGAAGAGGCCTTTCTTCCTGCCTAGGATCTGGGGTCATTCCTTGCCACTGAATGATGGAAGATTCAGGGCAAACTGCTGGCTTTGCACAGTATATAGTTCAAACTGAGGACCTAAATATCCCAAAACGACCAATCCTGTATGCTAAGCAGGTTCAGCCTTTGTTAGTACTTGGATGGGAGACCACCAACAAATACCAGGGGCTGTAGGGTCTATTTTAGAGGTGTTTTAACCCATTTTCATGGAGGACCACATCTGCCTTCAAAGGGCCATGGACTTTATGGATGGAGAATCATAGAGTTGGAAGAGACCTTGTGGGACATCCCGTTCAACCCCCTGCCAAGAAGCAGGAAAATCACATTCAAAGCATCCCCGACAGATGGCCTTTCAGCATTTGTTTAAAAGCCTCCAAAAAAGGAGCCTCCACCCAGGCCTGTAACCGGGGGGGGGGGGGGGGGGGGGGGGGGGGGGGGTTCGGCTGCGCCTTTGGTGAGTAGTGCACAGCATGATATTCTGCACCCCTCAATGTTTTCTGCTAATGAAGTTCGTGCCCTTCAAATACGATGTTTAGCCTCACAACTCTGGGATAATGTGATGAGTCCATAAAACAAATATTGTCTAATGCTTTCATGGCTGGAATCACTGGATTGCTGTGAGATTGTATGGCTATGTTTCAGAAGCATTCTCTCCTGACATTTCAGCAACCACAAGCTCAACACCAGCAACAAACTGATCAGCTTCGATGTGGTGTCTCTATTTACCAAGGTCCTGGTAGCAGACACCATCGCACTAATCAACCAAAATTTCCCAGAAGATATCATAACCCTGTTTTACCATTGCCTCACCACAAGCTACTTCCAGTGGGACAATGTACAGAAATATGGAATAGCCATGGGGAGCCCTCTCAGCCTGGTCATAGCAGATTTCTACACTGAACACTTTAAAAAACAAGCCCTGGAAACAGCAACAGAAAGGCCACTATCTGGTTACGATTTGTGGATATCAGCTCCACCATTTGAAGCCATGGAGGAGGAGAACTAAACAATGGAGACCAGGCTGTGGTGCAGCTGGCTAACAGCCAGCTGCATTAAATTGCTACTGGTCGAAGCCAGCCCAGGTTGGAGTGAACTTCCGACCATTAGTCTAGCTTGCTGTTGACCTTTGCACCCTGAAAGACAGTTGCATCTGTCCAGTAGGAAATTTAGGTACCACTTTTTGTGGGGAGGCTAATTTAACTAATTTACGACACCATACTAGAGACAAAGTTGAAGGATACTAGAGACAAAGTTGAAGTACTTTGGCCACATCATGAGGAGACAGCAAAGCCTGGGGAAGGTGGAAGGTAAAAGGAAGAGGGGCCGACCAAGGGCAAGATGAATGGATGGCATCCTTGAAGTGACTGGACTGACCTTGAAGGAGCTGGGGTGGTGACGGCCGACAGAGAGCTCTGGCGTGGGCTGGTCCATGAGGTCACGAAGAGTCGGAGACGACTGAACAAATGAACAACAATGACGACGACACCATAAAACCTTCCAGCATGCAGAAGAATGAGGAAGTACTCCTTCAAAGGACTTGGTATCTCAAATGGACTGTGAAGCAGCACTTTCCCTGTGTCCGGAATCGAGCATACCCTCATGAAGCCGGGAAGGTGGAATGTTGAAATTGCCTCTGTGTCTGTCTATATGTTGCATGCTAATTGGCATTGAATGCTTGCCATGTATATGTGCATTGTAATCCACCCTGAGTCCCCTGCGGGGTGAGAAGGGCAGAATATAGTAAATACTGTAAACAAACAAACAAGATCCTGGACCACCTCAGCAGCATCCGCCCCAACATCCAATTCACCATGGAAAAAGAAAATGAAGGAAAACTGCCATTTCTAGATGTCCTAGTCATCTGAAAGCCCAACCGACAATTGGGCCACACAGTTTACAGAAAACCTACACACAGAGATAGATACCTGCATAAAAACTCCAACAATTGCCCAAGTCAAAAAAGACGCACAATTAAAGCCTTGGCAGACCTTGCAAAATGAAACTACGAACCTCACCTCCTCCAAGGTGAACCGAACCACCTAAACTGGGCTCTACAGGCCAATGGAAACTCCGCCTCAGACATCAGAAGAGCTGCAAGACCAAGAACAAGCCACGAGAGTCAAGACAAAGATCCACCCAGAGGAAAAGTGTTCTTGCCATACATCAAGGGAACCACTGACTGCACAGTGAAGCTGATGAAGAAACACAATCTGCAGACCCACTAAGAAAATCCAACAAATGCTACATTCAGCAAAGGACAAGAGGGAACTACAACTCCTAGGATACCATAGCACTAAGCCATGGCAATTAAGGTGGTATCAAACTTCACTAATTC